CCTTGGATGGTTGCTCTTGGCGGGATGGCACATCACGTGACCTAGCCCCGCGATGATCATTACCTTCTGACGTGGACGTCCATAGGCCTTCAGCCATCTCGTCACTTGTCAAGGAGAGAATCCTTCTTGTTACTTGTAACACTTGAAGCTCAATCGACGTTAATACGTGATCGCGTTTGGCGGCATTAAAGCGCCTCATCCGGAAGCTCCTCTTCTAGGGCAGCTATGGCTTACACGCCAACATCCAACAATACATCAGGAGCATCATCTTCTAAAATGTCGTTTAAAGCAGGAGGATCTAAAGCATCTGGTGTTTCAATGAACAAAAACGGTAATGCTGGATCCAACAACACCACGCAGACACAAAGATGTGGCCTAATGGCCCCCTCCCCAACGACACAGCAAGCGCCCACACGAATCATCTTTGGAGTCCAGGGTCTACGAAAATCGAACAAATCGAAATTTGTAGTCGAATGAATGACCAAATTTTCTTGCCGGAACTCAAGAAGCGCTACAAGAAACATCGTCTAATGGTTTCAAGGTGGTTTTCACCCTTTCGATTTCACCACTGTGATTTCGTTAAAGTAAGGCACACTCTACTTAATATCTTCTTACATCTCAAAAGAACACATGACTAACATTTTCCTCATCAAGTTCCGGAAAGTCAGCGTCGATCGAGTCTTCTTCTCATGCGGGGGACTTCCAGAAGATGGAGTGTTTGCTAACGAGTACGAATACGATCCGAAACCACCGCTGGGAAAGATACCGCTCATAGAACTTGACGTGTTCGCCGCATGTCTGGAGTCTTGTGATGACGGATGCAAATGGTCAGCCCTTGGGCCATGGCTACACGACTGCTTTCAGCTGCCGCCCGACACGGAAAGAACAACCTGCATACCGAAAAAGAGGAGGGAATTTGATATGAAATCGACGCACGATGCGGAGAATCTTGTGTGGGGTATTCAGCCCAGTTACGCCTTGTCTCTTTTTATGATTTCCATCTACGCTCTCGTTCCATTGTTGTCAGCTTTCGGGTTCTGGATATATTGGTTGGCACGCCATCCGGGGGACTGGCAGAACGCTTCGGTTCCAATGGTGACTGCAGTGACGCTTGAGACACTTCTAGTGTCGTTGCTGGTGCTCAGTCCGAAGCCACATGCGCGCGATGAACGACGTTGATATACTGCGGCACTTTACTAAAAGAAGAGATATACGATACTCGAAATTTCGACGCCAAGACCGGATAGTACTTCTTGTAATTTATCACTATATATCCAGTCCGAAAACTCTTTATAAGAAAAAAAAGTTCAGCCTAATATCACACGATACCAGTGAGATCAAACTTTCAATGTCAAAATAGCTTCACTACTTGGCAGTCTCTAGTATAAAACCCTCACATTACCTACAATAAAAGAATAGAGAAATAGATACCACTGGATCTGGGCTTGAGACAGCATATAAGACAACGAAAAGACTACATCAAGTACACATGTCCAAAGTAGAAAACAGGCCAAGAGTGATGAATGTTAGACATCAAAAAACTTTTATGGAACCTGGCTATGATTCCATCAAATCATCAATCATCAAACCTTCAATCGTACCAATCTCATTTCTAGACTCTCATTTCCTTGCCTAGCTATCATTGACCACTTGTCAATCACATTTCTAGACACGTGACGTGCCATCCACATCACCACACAAACATCTTCATGTGGAAACCAAGACAACAAACACACACAAGAGTAAACATAGATGTTACTGTGTTTCTGAATTCATGATACATATCTCGGCTTTTCTCTATTTTTACATTTCTTTTCTTCATTTCACCTTCATCTTGATGACGACTTCTAGTTCTTGGGCTTGTAGTCGGAAGGGTTAATCATGAGCTCTGGTCGGACATACTTGTCAAAGTCAGCTTCGCTGATGACTTCGAGCTTGAGGGCGGCCTCCTTGAGGGTGAGGTTGTTCTTGTGGGCGTATTTGGCAGTCTTGCTAGCGGCGTCGTAGCCGATGACGGGGTTGAGGCAGGTAACCAGCATCAGACTGAATTTTGAGTCAGTATGAGCAGTGGATGGAGACGAAATAATAGTGATAGAACTTACCTCTCGTTCATGATGGAGCTGATGCGCTTCTCGTCAGCCTCGAGACCGGCAACGAGGTTCTTCTCGAAACTCCTCATTCCGTCGGCGAGGAGGCGCGAGCTGTGCAGCAGATTGCGGATCATGACAGGCTTGAAGACGTTGAGCTCAAAATTACCCTGGGATCCGGCAAAGGTGGTGGCAACCTGGTTACCAAAGACCTGGGCGCAAACCATGGTTAGGGACTCGCACTGGGTGGGGTTGACCTTTCCGGGCATAATGGAGGATCCGGGCTCGTTCTCGGGCAGCTTGAGCTCACCCAGACCGCAACGGGGACCGGAGCCGAGGAAACGGATGTCTTGGGCGATCTTGAAAAGTGAGGTAGCCAGGGTGTTTAGCTGACCGTGGGCCTCAACAATGGCGTCGTGGGCAGCGAGAGCCTCGAACTTGTTGGGTGCAGTGACAAAGTCCTTGCCAGTCATCTTGCTGACCTCTGCGGCAATGTCCTCGGCAAATCCCTTGAATGTGTTGATACCAGTGCCGACAGCAGTTCCTCCCTGGGCGAGCATCTTGAGGCGGGGTAGAGATGACTTTATGCGCTCAATGCCAAAGTCAAGCTGTTGTACGTATCCAGAGAACTCCTGACCCAGAGTTAAAGGAGTGGCATCTTGCAAATGTGTCCTTCCAATCTTGATGAGGTTTTCCCACTGGTCGGACTTCTTCTTGAGTGCGTCCCGCAGACTGGTGAGGGCGGGGAGGAGCGACTCCTCGAAGTCGAGGACAGCGGCAATGTGCATGACGGTGGGGAAGGTGTCGTTGGACGAGGCAGACATGTTGACGTGGTCGTTGGGGTGGACAGGCTTCTTGGTGCCCATTGTGCCGCCAAGGATCTCAATGGCGCGGTTGGAGATGACTTCGTTGGCGTTCATGTTAGACTGGGTGCCTGAGCCGGTCTGCCAGACAACAAGAGGGAAGTGGTCGATGAGCTTGAGCGAGGCCACCTCTTCGGCTGCCTGCTGGATGGCCTTTCCAAGCTTGGGATCTGTGGTAGGGTTAGCAGTGCACTGCAGGCTCGGGCTCGTTCAACGGGACGTACCCAGCCCAAACTTCATGTTGACCGTGGCAGCGGCGCCCTTGAGGATACCAAAGGCCCGCACAATGGGCGGGGGCATGCGGTCCTGGGGCTGGTTGATGCGGAAATTCTCGAGGGAGCGCTCCGTCTGGGCTCCCCAGTACTTGTCCGAGGGGACCTGGATCTCGCCAAAGGCATCGCTTTCTGTTCGGGTGTTGGCCATGGCGGCGGTGGTAGCACTGAATTGGCGGCGCTGGAAGGCAGTCTGGGGCTTGGAGAGCGAGGCTCTGGTGGTGGAGAGCGGGCGCGTAATGCGGGCACAGCTGAAGGAGGGGTTGGTGGCCTTCGCATGTGCCAGTGATCGCAGGGCGCCGGCCTCGGCAGCGCGGAGCTTGGTCGCGCTTCGGAACATGGTCGCAGCGGCTGGTGGTGGGCGATGGAGGGGCCAATTGGCGGGGGAGGATGGAGATGGATGCTGTGAGGATGCGCAACGGACACTGGAGGCCAGCCAGAAGACGACGGAGAGACAATTGCTCGAGACAGCAAGAGACAGAGCGAGACAAAAACACAGGCCAGCGCTCGAAGCTCTGGCCTCCGCCGCCTCGGATGGGGCCGCGGGACTCGCCTCCGATCTGTCCCGGGGTCGGAAGGATCACGTGACGCACCACCCGCCAAGATGCAGGCGGAAATGTGCGATGGCGAGGGCGGCACGGCGACACGGCGACACGGCGACACGGCGACACGGCGAGACGAGATGGTGCAAGGATTTTTGATACCTCGACCGCGACCGCGACCGCTGCAGAGCCCTCTCCCCGTCGCTTCTCTTGCCTTTCCAGTTGCACTTCTTGGGCCCCAAACTCGGCGCCAACATTCTCACCATCGTCATTAGCCCGAGCCCGCCGTGCGCATGCAACTCGACGTCTTGGACTCGTCTTCCGGCTCAGCCACCAATTTCACTCGTTGTCTCTGTCGCCGTCGCCGTCGCCAAAATGCACAGGCAAAGACAGCCGGCCTGGCCAGCCGCCGCTGCTCGAGGTAACGATTCGCGCCCGCTGCCGGCTGCTGTGCCATAACACGACAACTTGGCTGCCCACATGCCCTCTGCTTGCTTGCTGCTTGCTTCCTTCGGCCACCCTAGTGGAAAGTCTGCATAGTCACCGATCAAACTTCGGCATGATCGGGCACACCCTGTTGCGTGAAACCCTTCGCGCCCATGGTCCTTTTTCTGCTGAACCTCCGCACGCTGTGCCGTGCTGGGTTCCGCTCCAATGTTTTTGGGGGCTTATTGGTGGGCAATAGCCATCCATGCTGCCCTTCTCTCCGGACCATGTTAGAGCCGCATAGGCAAACGCACGAGTACAACAAGCAACTAGGTCGCACCGTGACGCCCCGGCTGCCTGAGCCCTGCGCCCTGCGCCTTCCGGCCTCCGACGACTGGTCATGATTAGATTAATGCAGGCGAGTCAAGTCGAGGGCACCTGATCCGTCTCCACCGTCGTTGCAATCCATGCTGGCTGCTCGCTATTGAGCGTGCCAACGTGACAGCGAGCTAATGACCCCTCACCTTCATTCATTCACAGCCTGGTTTCCACCTTGGACAAACGATCCTGCCCGACTCTGTCGCTCCTCTAGCTATTGCCCTCTCGCACCCTTTCACTCGGTCTTCGAGCCTGCTTCACCGTTGCCCCCATTCACTTTCGTGCACCATCGGTACCACCCCAGGCCGCACGCACTTGCTAAGCCGCAGATAAGGCTTCCATGACGCTGCTCGACCCTTCTGCCCTGTACTCTTCCACGCAACGACTACCAGAACCGGGAGCGAGGGACCATTTCCACCTCTTCTACACCTGTTCCAACATCCTCTTTAACCACCCCGACATTTGCCCTCCTCACTTGGCCAACTCCCCGCTCTCCACCCGCTGACGCCGCTTCAGCTTCAACCTTTTACCCAAGGACAACCCCCCTTCCAACCTCCAAACAAAGCTCGTATGGCTGAACCTGACTACGGTGCCGCTTCCTGGGCTCATGTGACGACTGGTTCCGGACATCAGGGTGCAGAGTTGGCTGCCCCACTTCTCTCTGCCCATGCTCCATTTCAACAACAACTCCCGCCTCTATACGGAGGCGTATACTTGCCCATGAGCGACCATCAGACACCCCAAACCCGCAATATATCAGATGGATCAGCCAGCAATCCGCTCCATGACCGCTCTCCGTATCCACCTGCTGGAATCCGCTACCCATATTACCAGCCGCACATGTTCCCGTATCAATTTGGTCATCCACGACCGCCACCATCTTTCTGGAACGGAGTCGACCATGTGCATCCCGATCAGTTGTTTTCTAACCCTAGTAACACAATGCAAGGCCATTTACCTGGCCAAACGATAGGAACACCACACCAAAATAGCCCATTAGCACCGGCTCTGAACGCAGGAATTCCGCCATTTATTCGACGCCGCAATGAACACAGAATGGCAGTCGAGACAATGTCACGGAATCCCCATGCGGGGGGCATGCGAACCCCTCACCAAGGTCATCGGGATTCAGCGCATCCGGAAGTGCGGCTGCAGAGCACTAGATCACAGCCCCACGAACACCGTCAGCCGAATGATCCAATGTCTCCTGGATCAGGGCACCGCCCATGGGCATCGCCTGGAGGCCATAGTCGCCGTTCAGACCGTAGCATCTCTCCGCGAACATCGAATCGCCGCAGTTTTGAGAGGTATTCGGTTGACCTCTCACCTTCGAGCACGTCATCTGACGCAGAAGAGGCGGCTGCCAGAGCGCCACCCCCGAATCGCTTGAGGACCCGAACAAGAGACGTGCGTCCACGATTCACGGGCTACCGCCCACATATTGATCCCAACATTGCCACCCCAAGGCAGATCCAGGAACTCAAAGACGGTCTTCCGCGGCGTCTGCCAAGCGAGCTTCCCGACGATGCATCCAAGTGTTGTGACATTTGCCAAAAGGATTATTCGGTCTCACATGTTTTGCCTTCAGAAGAAGAGGAAATCGCGGTAGTCTTGTCCTGTGGACACACATTCGGAGAATTCTGCATTTTTCAATGGGTGAGTCTTGACAGGTGTAAAAGTGACGATGGTTGCTGAGTCCAAACTAGCTTGATACGTGCAAAACCCACAAAAACAAAGTAACCTGCCCAATGTGTCGGAAGCAGCTGATCGAGGCACCACGATATCTTCAAAGCATGATGCACGCCTTTCCTCGCAATGGGCAAGCATTTGTTGACCTCTTGGCTCGCGAGCAGCTTCTTGCTAATGGAATACCACGTGAGTTCCACAACTTGTAAAAGGATGCTGGGCAGACACAACATATGGAATTGGACGGCAACAAGGGACGGACCATGTGATGTGATGGCATTAGCATATGTTGCTTCCATGTTATTGCGTTGCCAGGCCGGATAGATGCGTGGAACTATGATATCATTCTTTGGCGTGGATTGCCTGTTTGGGGCCCCATGTACGGCGTTTCTGCGGGCGGGGTATGGTGTTTCTCCGAGCAGGTCTACTTACTGCAAGGTTTGAATTTTGAATATGCGAGGCATGGCTCTTGAAGGGATCTGTACATAATATACGACGAGAAATAAAGACGGCAACAGCACACTTGATACACTACTAAAAATGGCAATCTTGATCCATGACGGCGATCGGAGAAGGGGGTTCCACATGCCAGGGAGCCTGGATTTCATCGTTGCCCGGAGCAGACTTAGCCCAAAACACGCACCCCACCATCAACACGAAGCTGAGCGCCAGCCGCCTGCATTTGTTTTGTCGCAGGCTCTGCAAGGTACCGACGCCTGTTGTATACATACATATACGTAGGCGATTGTTTGCGCATACACTGCAGATTCGACGCTGGCCTGCTCCTTCTTGTTCCCCCGTCGTTGCGACGACAGCCCCCACCTGCGCAACTGCAACCACCCCCTTCTCCGTCGCTATCGGGCACTAGACGAGCATGCAAGACAACAACAACATCAACAACAGAGACGCAGACGGTTTCCAGCTACCCGCCCCTCCGCCGCTGCTCCACACCCGTGGCAAGAGTATGGACCGTCCAGGCACGCCGGCTGAGGCCTTCATCAGCCCGCAGCAGACGCCTCAGGGCAGCCCAAGTAAACACCACCAGCCGCCTGGCGCATTTGATCTGCCCCATGTCTTCGAGAATGCCATGAGGCTACTTCCCACCATTGGTTCTCCAAGAGCGAAGCCGACATCTCCAGCATCACCCAACAAGTTGAAATTGGGCAGCGGCGGCGAGGATGGAGACTATGCGGGGCCAGACTCGACCACTGTCGCATCGGGCTCTCCAACACGTAGGTCAAACCAAGAGAACGCACCCCCCGGTGGACGCTCTGCTATACAAAAAGACAACGGCCATATGACACATGCAGCACAGTCGCGGCAGGAACCCTACCGGACGCGCGAGGCAGAGCAATCAACGCGGTACTTGAACGGTCCACAGCGCCTCTCTGCCGAAGATCTGGAAAAGGCGAGGAAGCCAGCGGTAAAGCGTCTTGCAAACGTCACTCAACTATGTAGGCCTGTTATCCTCTCGGATCGCAACAGCACTAACCAGCCGTGCAGACTTCCTCGACTACTACTACGACCTCCTCACCTACGTACATACCCGCCAAAACCGTCTCTCCCAGTTCAAGGCGCAGAACCCTCTTCCACCCGAGACTCCCGAAGAAGAGTACAACAGTGCTCTTACACAGTATCTCGGCCGTGAGCGTGCCAACCTCCGCAAGCGACGCACTCGATTGAGGCAGGGCGACTTCCAGATTCTCACCCAAGTTGGCCAAGGTGGTTATGGACAGGTGTACTTGGCGCAGAAAAAGGATACCCGTGAAGTCTGTGCACTCAAAGTCATGAGCAAGAAGCTGCTATTCAAGCTGGATGAGGTCCGCCATGTGCTGACGGAGCGTGACATCTTGACCACTGCTAAGAGCGAGTGGCTGGTACGATTGCTATATGCGTTCCAGGACGACAAGAGCATTTATCTTGCCATGGTGAGTTACAACACTGAAGAAATATGACCATGGACTAATGATAGCAAAGGAATATGTTCCTGGAGGTGATTTTCGCACCCTGCTCAACAATACGGGCGTTCTACACAACCGACATGCGCGCTTCTACATTGCTGAGATGTTCACATGCATTGACTCGCTGCATCAGCTGGGATACATTCATCGAGACTTGAAGCCCGAGAATTTCTTGATTGACAGCACCGGACACGTCAAACTGACCGACTTTGGTCTTGCTGCAGGTATCCTTGCCCCCTCCAAGATTGAATCAATGCGCATCAAGCTAGAGTCTGTGAGCGATGTTGTCTCGCCATTTGGTCGGCCTATAGAAGAGCGTTCTGCAGCGCAGAGGAGAGACAACTATCGCTCGCTTCGCGAGAGAGACGTCAACTATGCAAAGAGTATTGTAGGCAGTCCCGACTACATGGCACCTGAAGTACTCAAGGGTGAGGAGTATGATTTCACCGTTGACTACTGGAGCCTGGGGTGCATGCTCTTTGAAGCGTTGGCTGGATACCCACCTTTTGCTGGCGCTACAGTTGATGAGACGTGGCAGAACTTGAAGCAGTGGAAGAAGGTATTGCGAAAGCCCGTATACGAAGACCCCTCATACTTCCTGTCCAAGCGCACTTGGGACCTCATCGTGCGTCTCGTAGCGTCCAAGTCGTCTCGATTCCGCAACATATCCGAGATCCACGCGCACCAATACTTTGCTGAAGTAGACTGGGCAAAGTTGAGAGAGCAAAAGGCACCGTTTGTACCAGAGTTGGACAGCGAGACTGACGCTGGATACTTTGACGACTTTGGCAATGAAGCTGATATGGCCAAGTACAAAGAGGTGCACGAGAAGCAGGCTGCTTTGGAAGCAATGCAAGACCGCAATGTGCAAATGGGCAAGGGTCTCTTCGTCGGATGTGAGTATTGGTACAAACGCGGGTTGTGTCGTCTCGCTAACATTGTTATAGTCACCTTCCGCCACAAGAAGCAAGCCGAAGAAAACGGCAAACCATCAACCCCCCGGAAACCACTTCCCATGGTTGACGAGAATTTTGATACCATTTTCTAGAGGCATTGTCCTCGTTACCACGCCGTGGCACTGGTTGCGACGGCGTTTTTGTGCGTTGAGTGGGGTATGGGTATCTTTTGAAGCACCTGACACTTGTCAATCTGCAGCGAGCAATGAGGTGAATGCATATAAGGAAGGCTTTCATGACTTGGCCATGACAGCATGGAATAGGTTAGATTCGGCGTTGGGTGCGAGCCATGCGTATTTATCTTGGCAGGCAATTGTGCGGTATGCATTCAGGGGATCGTGTATTAGTAGTCAATGAATGCACGAGTACTGTGACTGTTTGTATTGTTTCGTATCTGGGTTACTACGCCGCTTGTTTGCACGGCCATTACTCGACGAACACGCTCTCACGTGATAGCGTCTTGCGGTTCAACGCATGGACGCGAGACGCTACGCTAATCGGCAATCCCCGTTCATCCATCATTCCCCTCTCGAGAGACAGTGCACTGGACAATCAACCCCCACCAACACGTATACGCCGCGACGATGCCCGGTCTAGTCCGAAGAGGGCGGAAACGCCCATCGCTGGCCGTCAGCGAGCAAGTCGACAAGCAGTCCGACGACGATTCCTCTACGTCAAGCAGCAAACGCGCCCGCCATGACCGGGACGCGTCCGGCAGTCCTTCCCCAAGCACGTACATGCAAAACGATGATGCAGACGGAACAAGCGCATACGTTCAAGATGAATTCCAGCCAGGCTCTCTTGTTAGGGTAAAGCTGAAGAACTTTGTCACATACACAGCTGCCGAATTTCATCTGGGCCCCAGTTTGAACATGGTCATTGGTCCAAACGGGACAGGAAAGAGTACGCTTGTGTGCGCAATATGCCTGGGTCTTGGATGGGGTAGCGAACATCTGGGAAGAGCCAAGGATTTGGGTGCTTTTGTCAAACATGGTGCTAGCGAAGCCATTGTCGAAATCGAGCTTGCAACAGGCCCAGGCAATGGTCCAAATCGTATCGTTCAACGTACGATTCGCAAAGAAGACAATAAGTCTGTGTTCTTTCTCGATGGCAAGCGCGTTTCCCAAGTCGCTGTAACAACCATGGCCAAGCAATTTTCCATACAGATTGATAACCTTTGTCAATTCTTGCCTCAAGACCGTGTCGTCGAGTTTGCCAAAATGACCGATGTCGACCGCCTACGAGAGACTCAGCGTGCAGCGGCGCCCCCGCACATGGTTGAGTGGCATGACGAACTCAAGGCCCTGCGTATTGAAGAACGCAATGTCCAGACAAAAGAAACCAACGAGCGCAGTCATTTGGAAAAGTTGGAAAAACAGCAGAATGCAACCAGAGAGGATGTCGAACGATTCCATCAACGCGAGGGCTTGTTGCGCAAATCGAAATGTCTGAAGAAGGTCAGGCCCATGATTGAGATCAAGCTGCTCAAAAACGACATATTGAAAATGAAGGAAGACAGGAGGCTGGCAATGCTAGAGCTGGATCAGATCAAGGAAGACATGGAACCAGCGCGTATAGCCTTGTCAGAAGTGGAAACATATCGTAATCAGATTGAGCAAGTTGTGAAGCTCCGCAAGAACCGTGTCGATTTGATTAAGACACAAGCCGACAAGCTCGTGAAAGATATCGATACAGAGAAGGCAAAGGCCAGCGACTCCACGGAGTTGATCAAGGTCGAGCTGAGAGCCAAAAAATCGCGTGAGCAGGATATTGTCCGCATTACGGCAGATATCAATAGGCTAGAACAAAAACGACAGAACACGGCTGTGGAATACGATGCTGCATCTTTTGAAAGTCGCAAGGCAGAAGTTCGAGGTCAAATTTCTACCATCAGCAACAGCGTAACGGATAAGCAAAATTCGATATCGGGTCTTCGCGAACGCGCGCATGCAATTGCGGACGAGAACACAAAGCTGAACACACAGCGAGAGCAGTTGAACACGCAAAGCGGCAAGCAGGCAAGCCTTCTACAGAGACTTTCACCCGACACTGCGAAAGCTTGGAAATGGATTCAGGAAAACAAGCACACTCTGAATTTCAAGGGTGAAGTCTTTGGTCCGCCAATCTTGGAATGTTCCATTCCAGATACCAGATATGCTCAAGCTCTAGAAGGCCAGCTGAGAAAAGGCGATGTCATTGCAATCACTTGTACTCATAGCGATGATCAGCAGTTACTGTCGAACCTCCTCCTTAGAAAGGTAGCCAATGGGGGCCAAGGACTGCACGAAGTCCATCTTCGGTCGTCCCCCAAGTCTCTCGATTCATACCAATCACCAATCATGAAAGAGGACTTGGAGAAATTTGGCTTTCAGGGCTACATGCTCGACTTCATTCAAGGGCCCGCCGCTGTTTTGGCCATGCTTTGCGACAACAACCGCCTACATCAGATAGCTTATTCACCGACCCCAATATCAGATGAGCAGCACGCTGCTGTATCAAACAGCCCTATCCGCAGCTGGGTCAGTGGTACTGAGACCTTTCGCATCGTCACGCGCAGAGAGTACAACGCTTCCTCAACATCTGTCACGAAACTTAGGCCTGCTCAATGGTTTACGGACCAACCAACTAACACAGAAGAGGTTCGGGCGATCGAATCGAGAATTACAGAGCTAGTGCAAGAGAAAGAAGAGATCCAGGAAAATTACGCCATTGTTACAAACGAAATGAAGAGTCTCAAACAAGAACTCGAGGAGCTCAAGCAGGCGAGGGTATTGAATTTTCTACGACGTATTAATACTCATTTCTGACATTGCACCAGGAAGCAATACAAGCAGAGCAAGATGCTACGAAAAAAGCTCTGGCAGAGTGGCGGGCCATTCCTGATAAGATCGGTAGGTTTGCCTTCATAAATCAATGGGGTCGTGTACTAATGCCTCATAGCTTCCAAACAGGCCCAATTGGACGACCACAAGCAGCAAAATACAGAAACCAATGAGCGCATCCGTGAAATTAAAACACAGGCTCGTGAAACATCATTACGCGTAGCGGCACAAGCTCTAGATTATGCTGTACGTAGTACCTGTCTTGCTCATCATACTATACTGACGGTCATGCAGAAAGCTGTGACGCATATGCGTACATTTCATGAATCGCTCATTGAAGCTGAAATTCGGTTCATCGAAGCCAAGTCGGAACTCAATGCATTGAGAAATGAAAACAGTGCAATGATCCAGAGGCAGCAGACAAAAGAAACTGAGGTTCAAGAACTTGGCAATCGCATCAAACGTCTTCGCGAGGAGTACCAAAAGAAGACAGCAGCTACTCAACAAGACATTGAAACCTTGACCGAAGAGGAGAAGCAGATCGTTTTGGAGTATCGCGAACTCCCTTCATTTGACGATCTCGAGCAGGAAGTTCAAGCCGTCGCTGCACGATTGGAGATGATGGCTGAAGGCAATCCCGGTGCTATTAGAGCTTACGAGAAGCGCGAGGAGGACATGAACAGAACGCGAGAGAAGCTGGAGCAGTACACGGCTAGCCTCGGTGAGATCAGGGAAAAGATTACAGAGATTCGCGAACAATGGGAGCCACAGCTCGATGTTCTCATCAGCAAGATAAGTAATGCCTTTGCATACAACTTCCAGCAGATTGGGTGTGCTGGCGAGGTCGCTGTGTTCAAGGATGAGGAGGACTTTGATAACTGGTCTGTTCAGATCTCAGTCCGCTTCCGGTATGCATTAGCCATCTCATCTACATGTACGCATAGCTAACACGCCAATAGTGAAAACGAGCCCCTTAGTGTTCTCAATTCTCATCGCCAATCCGGTGGCGAGCGCGCCGTCTCAACTATTTTCTACCTTATGGCTCTTCAGGATCTCGCCCAGTCGCCTTTCCGTGTCGTCGACGAGATCAATCAAGGTATGGATCCGCGCAATGAACGAATGGTGCATGAGCGCATGGTAGACATTGCCTGCCAAGAGCGTACAAGCCAATATTTCCTTATCACTCCAAAACTCTTGACTGGCCTCAAGTTCCATCCCAAGATGAAGGTTCACGTCATCAATTCTGGAGAACATATCCCCGACTCAAAGACTGTAAAAGGGGGTTGGGATCTGAACGATATGGCCAAAATCGCGCTGAGGACAAGGAAGGGTATTACGGTTACTTGATCGAGGATACTTTCTTGTGTGGGCACTAATCACGTCGGTTTCGCTTCATGTTTCTATCTCTTTCCGCGTTGGCTTCCATCAAGGCCAAGATGTATCACGTCACATCAATACTCTCACTGCGCCACAGTTCTAGCCATAAATCTGCCGCAGCTCAGACTTCCAAGGAACACGCCTCCGAGCACCGACATGAAGTATCCCACATTCATCGTCATGACAGCTATCATGCTGGGTGATGTATTAATATGCGGATCTTGCGACAACATCGGCATCGCGAAGAATGAGAGAACGGAGAAGTCAGAGGAAAGACTTACAGCAGATACGATACCCCAGCAAGGACCACATCGAGACTCGCAATCCAAACCGCCTCATCCGCTCTCCAGTGTCTCTTTTCCAGTCTTGCCTTCTCTTCAATTTCTGGCTGTCCCTTGGCTTGCGCTAGTACCGCGAATAAGTTGAAGCGAACAGCAACCAAGGCGCGGAACGAGGCTGCAAGTGCAATAAGGAATATACACGTTCCTGCGTATTGGCCCGGGGTGGTGGGAGTCCAGGATGCGGAGAAGAGAGACGTGCTGGTTGAAGTAAAGAAGGTCATGGACATGGTGGACATGTGCATTCCCGACATCCCTGACATTGTGGCATTGGAGTCAGTGGACGTTGTTGGCGTTGACATGTGCATGTTGGCAGCTGTTCGTATGGTTCTTCTGCAGAGGTCTCTATTTTCTTGATCAAGATGCCCGAGATGGTGGCGTGTAGGTAAATCAACAGATGAAGCAAAAGATATATCACTACCTAAACAAACGTTTGCTGGCAGATAAGCTTGTTCCGCAAGTGTATGTCAGAGAAATTCGTCGTTTGGAGAATCGTTCGAAAAAAAAATACAGAGTCGAGCCAAAATCACTGTCAAATCCCCCAAACCCGCCGATACATATATCCGCCCCCTCAACCCACAAAACCAAACCAAGTACGGTATCAAACATACTTTCGCACGCGCTCCATTGCATCCCAGCTCCAAGTCCCCCTTCCCTTGATACTCGTCGACCACACACACGCTACCCCACCCATCTAACGCGGACCAAACAACGCCCGCTGAGAAAACTTGCTCAATCGTGCTCTTACTTACGCCCGTACCCCGCCCTCATTGGCCCATCAGCAAAAGACAATCTACGCATCCTGGTTCAAAGACCGCAGAACCAAGCATTTGCGGGGGCTGCATTAAGCTTTGATAAGCTTATTTGCCGCAGCTACGACTCGTGTGGCTGGACTATCTGGTTGCATGGGAGGTGGATATGGCGTTGGAGTTGGAGGGGACGGGGTAGGGGATTAGAGTTAGATAGACTTCACCCCGACACACATGCTCGATCCTTCGAACTCGCCTTTTTCTTCTTTCTTTCTTTCTTTCTTATTGCCCCCCTCCCCCCCCCCTCTTTGAGGTTTACATATCTATTCATCCTCTTCGCTTTTTCTTCTTCTTCTTCTCGCCGAGTTGATATACATATCTGGATTTGAGAAAAGAAAAGGAAGAAGAAGATGAGCGAAGCTTGGATCTCCATCTCCCCCGGTCTCTCCGGTATGCGCATGTTCGAATGCGGGACTAAGACTGCGGAAGAGTGTGCGTGGTATAAGCATCGGTGGCACTTTTGGTATGTAGCGGATTACGTGTTTGCGCTGCCGACTGTTGCGTTTTTCATGAGTGGGATTGGGGTTTTCGTTGTTGCGCACGTCGTCTCTGGTTTGTTCTTACGGCAGAGGAAGGTAGGGCGGGGTGTGTTGGTGAGAAAGGTGTTGGCGGGATTGAGGTATCTGGCGTATCGTGGGTTCCATGTTAGAAGGTTGAAATGGAATTCTGCGCCGGCTGGGGTGTTGATGCTTGGTGCTGCTGGTGTGGTGTTCTTTTTCTGTAAGGAGTTCTTTTCTTTTCTTGGAATATGGGAGTTGAGGGGAGTGTACTGACTTTTGGCAATAGGTATGGATCTGATACCGCAACCATACTATTGGGCCAGCAAGAAGTTTGGTAATTCACCGCCATTGGCTACGCGGTCTGGATGGCTCGCCTTAGGCTGTATGCCTTTTCTCTTGTGAGTTTGGCATCCGTCATGATCCCATGAATCCTCTTTACTGATTTTTTTCAGTGCTACAGCAAGCAAAACAAACTGGATCACATTGATCACCGGAGTGTCCTATGAACGGCTCCAAGTATTTCACCGATGGATTGCGTACGCGTTTTTCGTTCTGGCGCTGATGCACACATTTCCTTTTATCGTGTACCACATCCATTGGCACGATATGGAGCACCATTTCTCGAGCAGTCTGCTATTCTACTGGACGGGGATAGTAGCACTTATATTCCAAGCGTGGCTGACGTTCATGTCGCATAGTGTCTTTCGGTTAGTAGTAGTTCTTCTATGAGCTCGATTTTCGTATGTAACTAATGCACCACTTAGAAACCGCGGATACGAATTCTTCAAAGCAACACACTTCTTTGCTGCCGTCATCTTCATGATAACCTTCTTCTGGCATTGTGATCAAACCCTGACGAGTTGGGACTATTTTGTTGCCACGGCTGCTATATACGTTCCTTGCTACGTATACCCATGGCTTCGCACAGCATTCGAATACAAATGGACTCAGCAAGCGCGGGTTGCAGTTGAGAATAACGGTTTCATACGTGTTGCCATTCCAGCGACGTTCTACTGGGCTCCGGGTCAGCATTGCTTCCTACGCTTTACGAGTTTTGGTTTCCTATCTGCCCTAACTGCTCATCCATTCACTATTTGCTCTACGCCTGCCAAGGTATCGGCGGAATCTAATGAGCTGGTATTCTATATACGCCGTCAGGGTGGGTTCACAGATAAATTATATCAACATGCATTCACCAAGCCCGACGCCGGTATCCCGGTTCTTGTAGACGGACCTTACGGCGGTGCTAGTTGGCTCAGACTACGTAACGCAGATCGCCTTCTAGTTATCGCAGGCGGATCTGGCGCCGGCTGGACCTTGCCTTTTATTGAGTATTTTCTTCGATCAACTGCAAACTCCATCGACGAAGCAGCACCTCGTACCTCCATTTCGGCCCCGACGTCACTACGCGTTGTACTTGCGATCCGCGATACCAAAAGCCGTTTGTGGTTTGAGCAGACTCTGCAAACCATGTTTTCGCGATATCCAACTACAGTCTTGTCGTCCGTCCAAATCGAGGTCCACCTCACTGGTGAAGCCGCAAATCAAGCTGACATCCTGCCTAAAACAGCACAGCCATCAACCCGCTCAGTGCCATCTGAAGCGTCAAATGACATTGTAGTCGATACTGAGAAAGAAGTCGAAACATTTGTATCAGGCAAAGAGTACACAGGCCGACCACAACTACCGCTGGTCGTACAGGACGAGGCAGAGAAAGCAGCGGATACAAACGAGACGCTGAATGTGTATATCTGTGGACCCAAGACAATGCAGAACGATGTACGAAATGCCGTTGCAGCTGAGAACCTGAAGATAATCACTGGTGCGAGGAGCGGTGGCGTGTATTTACATACTGAGTACTTTTCCTGGGCATAGATGCAATATCCGTATATACCTTGGTATTCCAACTCATCTCTCAGATTACAGATTTGTTAAATCCCTTTTCATCACATTCATGGCACCTTCTGTTTGCCCTACCCCACCCTGTTCCCACTCGTTCCTTCCCCCCCCCCCAAAAAAACCCCTTACACACCTCACCCCTCCCTCCTCGACAGACTCATCCCAGTCCTCGTATTCCTCCCACCACCCCACTCATCCCCGTCACTATCATCATCTTCGTCTTCCTCCTCATGCTCTCTCGTCCCTCTCGCATCTTTCTCCCTAGTCTCCCTAGTCTCCCTCGCCGCCCCTGTCTCCCCCGTCTCACCCTCAACAACAATCTCCACGCGACTCTCCAATACCGCATTCTCCTTATTGCTCATTTCTGCATCCAGCTCGACGTCTCCACCAGCGTTGGCTTGGCGACGCGCACGTGTGAGACGGCGCTGTCGACCGAAATATGTGAGTTCGAGGAGGAGAAGGCAGAGGAGGATGAAGACTATGATGCAGGCGGTTATTATGCCGGCTTTTGCGCCGGAGCTGAGGTGGGCTTTAGAGCGGGAGGATGGAGGGCGGGTGGAGGGGGTTGAGGTTAGTTTTTGGGAGGTCTGGTTGGGGGTGTTAGAGGGAGAACTTTTGGGTTTCCACGGCAAAAGGGTGATGGGGATGTCTACCTTGAAGTCCGTCTCAACATGGTTATTGTATTGTTTTGTGGCTTGATTTGAGTATCCTCTGATAATTAACATGGTTTTGGATAATATGACTGATTCATCCAACGGATTTATATTCTGGCTTTTACGAGTGATGGAAAATATTGGGTGGATGTGGAATGACACGCGATCAAGTAAAGAGGAGGAGAAAGGATAGAGCTCACTATCTCCTGATATCCCACTCAATACACAAATAAACCCTAAAGTCCTCTCACTGCATGAACAGCTTGCCGCAGTGCTACCTGCGGTACTACTTTACGCCACCCCATTTCCATCGTGACAGACGTTGCAACCAAGAAAACCGAACATCAGGAAAGCATAATTCTTGAGAATATATGAAATAGAACACAGGGCTTAAAAAAAGAAGGCAAAAAAAAGGTACAGTAGCTATGTGGAAGTGAGATTAGAAAGAGAAAGATACCAAACTACGCTAGAAAAGCATGAAAGCACTTGTCAAGTATACTTTTGTAACTCCTCCTACCACTATTATCGTGTCTACTCCCCCTCCCCCTCCCATTATCGTTGTTGGGCAATGAAGCAAGGAAAAAGAATAACGCCGTGCATGCAAATGAAACAACGATCTCTTTTCGCCCCACCCCCCCCCCGTAGCACACCGCGGCGCCAACACGCATGCCGTGTAACAGCCAGAACAAGGGGAAGAGGTAACGACGAAAAAGAAAGAAAAAAAGAGGCTCCACCATACGAAAACGAGGGGTGTAAATAAACAAACAGATGGACACGTGACTTGGATAATCTAGAAAAAGGTATGCAGTGTAATAGTGACGAAAGAATATGCATGACTTTCATCATCATCATCATCATTAGAATCAAATCCACCCAGTCAAAAAGTATTTACAATAATATCCTCCGCGTAACTCATATCTCCATCATCTAAGCATCACGAAGCATGCTCGTGAAACCAGCCCAAGTCTCCAAAACAGTGGGGCGGATCTGGTTGGCAGGGAGCGAAAATCCATATGTACCGGTATCCCTGAGCTCATAAGTGTACGAGTAGGTAGCATTGCCCTCGACATCGGTGTAGTCGGTGGAAGAACCAGTGGTGGCATAGAGAGTAGAGCAGCTGGGGCCAATGGTGTAGGCGGTTCCTGAAACGGCGCGGATAGCGGTTTGAGCGCGAGTGGCGAGACTGCGGTGCTGAGCGTCGTTTTCCGGGCGGAGGCTGCAGTTGTAGCCGTAGGGCCAGAGGATGTATTGGCCGTAGGAGCTAGAGTTGGGTGTGGTTAGCTTTGGGTTGGTTAAGGGGAGAAGGGGGAACATACTGTATGTCGAGGTAGAGGCTGATTCCGCGAGTGGCCTTGAGAGCATCGACTTGGGCTTTGAGAGCCTTGTTCTCGGGGGCGTCTCCAGCGGCTTGACCCTTGTAGGTTTCCGAGCAAGGGCTGGTGGAGGCTCCGCCAGTTACCTCCCACTTGTATGGCCAGTTGCCTGTGATATTGGGTTAGCATGTTGATCATACAGTAATTTCTCTATGGCGCCTTACGGTTGATATCGCGGCCAACACATGTGCTGGTGCTGACAGTCTGGCGGTTCTTGCGCCAGAGACGGTCCGTGGTCTGCGAGTAAACGAATCCGTCAGGGTTGACAATGGGGGTGATGTAAAAGTCGAACTTGTCGACGAGAGCCTTGATGCTTGAGTCGGAGGCGTACTTGGTCAGAAGCTGCCACGCGAAGTACCTGAGGTGGATATTAGTTTGTTTGTTCAATAACAATCTCATGGAAGGGAAGCTTACTCAGTGGTCATCGAAGTGATCCACTCTCGCGCGTGAACGTTTCCGTGGATAATGACAGCAGGCTTGGATCCCTTGCCGCCGCTACCCCAGATGTGGATACCGGTCAAGGTACGTCCTTGGACTGAGTTACCAAGGGTCACGATCTCGGAGTTGCTGGTGTAACCGGCTTGCAGATCGCGGAGGAACTGAAGATGGTCGGCGTATGGGTGGTATGCTGTGAACCACGACTCGGCGGGAACTACATCCGGTGAGTGTGCAACCTTGAAAATACTAGGCGAATTACAAACCAGCATAAATTCCCATCTCGCCTTCTTCCTTGAGGGCAGCACCGACGTCCTCGTTGATGACCTTGCTCTCAGAAACCAATGCAGTCAATGCCGCGACGTTTTCGGGTGCAACAACTACATCCAGTTCGGCAGACTTGCCAGGGTTGAGGATGTGGGTAGCCAAGTTCTCGATTTGGCTCTTGACAGCGTCGGTGCTAGAAACGCGCAGGACCTTGAAGCCATTGTAGTCGACCTTCTTGCCGGCGGTTGGGACAGCGCTACCCAAGGCAGTAGAGCCAAGGAGAAGGGCGGAGGTAAAGATAGTAGTCTTCATGGTGAGATATGGAGACACTGACTATGTAGAAGCAAGGTGCAGCATAGTATAGGACGCGGGGAACGCTGCTTTTTATGCTTCCCCATAGTCGTACCTGGTTATGATCCACCTTCCTGTCAAGTAGCATCACCGACATGTCCCTGTCTCTTAGTCGAAGTTGTATGAAATAGGCAGGTATCCCAGTTTTGTGGTAGTCGTCTGCACGAACGGGAGATGTGCACTCGAATAAGCCCAAGATAGGCCCTATAAGCGCGGGAGACGGTCATTCGAAGGAGGTCGGAGGAAACACCTGCGCCATGGATGGAGGATTAATTTATGGAATCACTTGGCGCGCTCGTCGAGAGACGTGGGCGCGAACAAGGTGATTGGTCCGGGGTCCTGTGTGCTTACCGGGTTAGGCAGGTGTAGGGCTCGGAAATCTCGAAGAGCATAATGGCTGGTCTTGGCTATGCGATAGGGCAAATCAAGGCTTGCGTAGTTGGAAGACGTGATTGTGTAGTGATGGGTAGCTAGTCAACCCAATACAGTGTAGCAAGGACATACCTGCTTCGAAGCGATGAGCTGAAACGGGAAGGAGATCACTGGAAGGCGGCCGCCAAGTGGTAGATAGGCATGCACATTATAACTAGCCTGACCGAGAGCGACAGGTGCAGACGACCAATATGTCTGATATTTGCTCTTCCTAAGAAGGCACACCCAGTTCCCTGAGCACGTTTGCACAACCAATTCTGAGCCATTCGTCGACTTGTTCCTGGCTCGTCACCCAAACGCTCCCTAGCATACCCGCCGTATTCGTACTTGCACCCTCTGCGCTGCCACTCCGCCGCGGAATAACGACTAGGTGGTCAGCCCACATGGCGACATTATGCGGAGGTGTATTTTCTTCTTTGGTACCGGGCGCTGGCTGGCGGCACTGGGCGAGGAGTGTAGTGTAGACAGACAGAACAGCTGAGGCTGAGGTATTTTGGAACCCCTCTTCGAAACGATGAAGAAAGAACCGAAAAGGGACTTTGTTTGCTTTTTCGCTGACAGCTGAAATGAGGTAGTCGAAAGCATGCGGCGGCCCCTTTAAGCCTTGGAGATGCTTGTGCACCCTGCTACAGCCACCCTTTTCACCACAGTTGAAAATGACGTACATGCTTGGGAATTGACGCAATACTTGAAGCATGACCACAAAGTCATCCACGTCCAAGGCTTCATGCTGGCGCTTGTACGAGTCGAGTGTTAGCATGAGGAGTTGGGGTCGGTCGACACAAAACAGGTTTAGCGCCAGGTCATGCGTCTCGTTCAGCTGAGTGATGATAAGTCGCTCGTCAGGGCAGAACATGTCGCTGCCTGGTCCCCATTTCCGCGTCTTATTGAAGCCATGGTTTGTGGCGCCGACTGTATGTGGTTTTGTTGCTAGTGCTGGGCAGATGCGGAACTCGAGCTGAGCAGTCATGAGCGAAACACTTGGCTTGTGGTTGTATACCTGCGCACCGGATAGCCATTGTCCTCCACTGACACAATTTCGTGAGGGCCATATACAATGGCGCCCTCATTGGCAAGTTTGTCAAACGTTTCCACAAGGCCTGCTTCCGAGTGATCTGCCATGTTGCAAATGTGGAAGTGCCTGAAAAGCTGATGACTCGGAGATTGTCGGTGAGCTCTAAGATGACAGGTACGAGGGATAGTCGGCCCGTGCACGCTGCAGATTTAGTGAGTCCATGGTAAGTAATTACAACCACGGAAAGAGACACCACCAAAAATACGAAAAAGCGTTCAAAAAAATGGACTGTGTATAGCATTTCCAGCTAGATAATCCAAAGCGAGACATATCCTGCACTAGAAGAGCCTCCCTCGGCGAGTGAGAAAGAACAAAAAGTCGCCTGAGTAGAAGAGAAAGAAATGAAAGATGCCTGTGTTAATTATAAAAGGTATGCCCCTGTCCGAGATGCGGACTCGTGATTGCAGAGGCCAAAGTGTATGATGAAGGTGGACGCAGTGCCTGGGTATCGTGGTATCATCATCAAAGGGAGTGTAGCTATGCGGCCTCGGGCTTAGCAGAAGATGGCCTCTCTACGAGGACATAGTCAGCGCTGGTGGTCGATGAAGGGGTCGGTATTTGTGGAATCGCACCTGGCATGTTTGGCGTCTTTTGCGCAAGAGGGCTCTCGGGCGCCTGTGGTTGTGCCTCGTCTTGCTGGGCGGTTTGCTGAGTGCCGCTCTTGGCCGGTGGGGAGTTGCCCTTTGCCTGGTTGAGACGCTCTTCGGCAGCGCGGAGCCTTGCTTCGAGGGCCTCGAGTTCCTTGGTCTGGGTGCTGACAGCTGCCTTCCTAGGTGGGAGTCAGTAGGCTGCGTGCGATGGCGATGGCGATGGCGAGAGAGAGAGAGAGAGAGAGAGAGAGAGAGGAGGGTTTACTTTTCATGCACTGTCCGGTCGAGGTCCTCGATGCCACCGTCCAACTTGAATAGGCTGTCGAGCTCGGTCATGAAGTTGCGCGCTATGGTGCTGCAGGCATAATCAGAATAGGCGGGGAGCTATGCTAGCGCCGGGGGAGCTCACGATTGAGGACGTTTGTTCGGCTTCCAGCCGTGGTCGGGATCGTCCATGGCGGCGGGCTGTGCAGAGTATGAGGAAGCCATGATGAGCAGTAGGAGGACGGTGTGTAGTATGGGCGGTGCGGGAGCGGCTCTGGAGAAGGTCGGGGCTGACGAGGGAACGAGGGGATGTATTTATGGGCTAGTGCAAGGGGACAGTGGTAGTATAACAAGCAGGCAGAGGGCTCAATCGTCAGACTTGTTTCATGCAGTGCTGGCGTGCCTGGTAGAGGAGAAAGAAAGCATAATATGACACCCCTGGAATAGAGACCTCAGGGCGATTGCAATGTAAGTAAGTATGTAGGGGAAATAGGGGACGCCCATGCTCCGGACTAATTGGGAGGGGGGGCGTAGATCAGTAGTGGAGCTTGGGAACGAGGGCTTGAAGATGCGCCGCCGCGCCCGAGCCCGACGAGAGAAATAAGAAACAATAAGAAGCCAGAGACGGCGCGCGTGGGAAGCAATTGGCGCTAGAGGCGTTTGCTCGCGCCGCAGATGCGGACAGATGCGGACAGGCGACGGCGACGGCGGTTGAGATACGGGGAGGGTGACAGGCTGCACGTCACGCGCCTGGCGGCAGGCCGGCGTGCGCCACAGTGTGGCAGTCTGAGTCGAAGCCCCGCGCCCGCACGCAGCCACAGGACGAGGCTGGAGCGGTGGTGTGGCGGTGTGGCGGCGGACGCGTGTGATTGGCGCGCCGCCAGGGCCAGCGATGGGATTGGGTGCCGGCTGCTGGGCGGCTGGGCTGGGCTGCTGCTGCCGTGCGAGAGGCAGCGCCGACGAAGCTCTTGCGAAGAATAATTTCCTCATCAAACCAACCGCCCAGCCCATCTGCCTCTGCCTCCGCCTCGCCGCCCGACGCGCCCATCGCCCTCCGCCGCCCCCCAGTCGCGTGCGATGCCCGTCTGCCTCCGCTAGACGCCCTCTTCCCTCGTCCCTCGTCGCCGTGGCTCCCATCCCGCCCCACGCCCATCGCCCTCGCGCTGCAGACGCCTGGGGGATGACGACTAGCGTCTCTGCCTACACCAACCTCGAGTCGCTCCTGCTGTTCCAGTGCCTCCATGCCTATGGCGTCGGCCCCTCCGTCTTCACCCGCATCTCCGACCTGCTGAAGAAGAACCCGGACATCACCACCCACAAATACTTCCAGGCCGGCCGCCTCAGTCCCGATGCCCTGCGCAACTTCTACCTCGAGCGCCTAAAGAGAGAGCTCGAGCATGAGCAAGCTGCCGACAGCGACTCCCACAACGGCGATGTCGCCAGCCCGACCAAGCGAAAGAGACAGAGCCCGAGCCTGCCCACCGTCCAGGAATCCCTCCAGCACCAGCATTTAATCCCCAAGCTCGTCACCAAGCTCTATGCCTCATACCGCTACGAGATTGCCGAACAGATCAGGGCTGAGGAGGACAGGTACGAGCGACTGCAGCGCGAACTGAAGAGCATCGAGCGCGGAGAGTGGGACGATCAACTTAGGGACAAGGCCAACGGACAAACATCTGCCTTGCGAAGCCCTGCCCTACCCCGGAAGTCACCTCATCTGGCACAGAAGTCTTTGCAGCCGAGCCAAAGCCCCCAGTCCGCTCAGAATGGTGCGCGACGCGGTCCTTTCATTGCGTCTTCCCCGGATTCCACGCAGCCGTCTGGTCCCGAGTCTCCGCGACCTGCGCCTGCGCAAAATGGACAGCAATCGCCATCTCAATCCAAGAGGCAGCCTTCTACGCCGCAATCCCACCCAACGCCGCCTCCGCCAACAGCACATCAAGCCCACCCTGCGCCGCATCACGCAGCGTACAACAGCGCTCAATATCCAAACATTACCCCTTTCCCCCAGGCACAGACACCTCAAAGCGCACAGCATCAGCCTGGTCCACACCACCATTCCGGTCACCCGTCGCAACCCCCATCCCCAGCGGTAGGGTCGCCAGGACTGCAGTATCAGCCGTCACCAGCCCAGAACTATGGTGGAAACGGAACACCTCAGTACGGCACTCCAGGAGCGCATCCGCAATACCACCCACCGCACCAGCAGTTCCCGAACCAGCAACCTCCGGGGCCTCACTCGCCAGGTTTACACCCTGGACAGCAGAGGGCGCCATACCCCCATCCTGGACACCAACCGTACCCTCCTTTACAACCCCAAATGCCCCACCCACCACCCCAAGCAGGCTTCATGCTTCCACCCTTTCAAGTTGCTCCACAGGATCCATCGCGTGTCCATCATCAAGCAGCTGTGCCGCCGCACCCCCAAGCCTCGACACCTACGAACAATCGACAGCCGTCACGCACGAATTTGCAAACGCCTGGCACTGGCAGAACAGGCGCGCCCCCAATCCATCCTCTCGTCACTCAGGCGAGACAATCACTTACGACACCTTCTGCCGCGCATTCTCCACAAAGTTCTCTGGGAACTCCCGTGTCTGCAAAGAGTTTATGGAAGCGATCTAGTTTCAATGGGATACAGTCTACTTCTTCAAGCCCACGCCCAGAGGTGGAGCCACTCGATGATGTGCCGCCCCTAGTCCGCTCGAATCAGAGTCCCGCTAAAACCAAGTCACAGCGCAAGTCCAGGGCAAAGGGCAAAGGAAAAGATCCAGACCAGGATTCCGTACCAGATGCCGAAACCCCGCAAAATTCCAAGCTAATCAACGACCACGAGGAAGAATCTTTGGCGGAACACGAAACCCGATCTGGACGTTCTCGACGAAAAGCTCCGGCAAGGCGAACAAGACCCGGAAGCATTGCATCTTCAAGAGCTGGTGGTTCTGTGCGAGACCGAAGCAGAAGTCAGTCAATTCTCTCTCATACCGATACGGTAGCGGCGGACAATGAGTCGCAAACTGGCAATAGGATCAAGTCGGAGCGAGGAACCTCTGTCGAGGCTATTGACGAGGAAGCTACTGCTGAGACACCGTCACACATGTCTACCCGACGTCGAGGAGCAGCTGCAATGCCGTCACTTTCAACGCGCCGAAAACGCAATGCCCGCGAAGCTTCTCTTGAGGCCGAAGATACATCATTTGGCACGCCTGGTCCTCCTCGATCCATCATAGCACCACGTAATTTTGCACGCATGACAGCCCCTATGATGTACGACATCAATTCCCACAAGCACGCATCTACATTCAATACTGCAGTGCGTGCCAAGGACGCAGAAGGCTACTACGACATTATCAAGCGCCCGACAGATTTGTCTTCCATCAAGAAAGCTATCGCAGCAGGTTCGAAGCAAGTTGCTGCAGCCGCAGCGGCGTCAGAAAACCCAACTGCTAGTCCCGGTGGTGCAACTGGAGGCCTCATTGAGCTCCCCTTTACAGCAGACAACGTGCCTCCCAAGGCCATTGTCAACGCAGCACAGCTTGAAAAGGAACTCATGCGCATGTTTGTCAATGCCGTCATGTTCAACCCCGGAGAAGAAGGCGTGGTCAACGATGCGAGAGACATGTTCCAGACTGTTCAGGGGCTCGTCAGCACATGGAGAGACGTCGAGAGGGACAGTGGCAAGGCAGGTAACGAGGGCACCCCTGCCGCCGAGGAAGAGGATCCGCCCACGGCCAGCAAGCGGAGGAAGCTATAGTATAATTCCCGAACATCGCAGCTGTGTAATGCGAAAATGAAGTAGGGCTTTCAGAGTAATGTCAGGTTCGGGCCAGAGTGTCGAATATTATATGATCAGTTTTTATGCTCTCGTGGTCTTACCTTTGCTACGGTGTTGTCTCCTTTTGCCACTTGCAAATGTTTGTGCCCATGTGTGGTGGTGCCTGTGAAGCCATGACATCTTTTAGCATTTGTATCATCTTGTCATGATTATAGGAACGTGGGCACTGGGAGAAGAATAGAGAAGAGCAGCAGAGAGCACTGTATGGAGGGAGAAAGAAAGAAGGAATATGCCCTTATTTGCTCTTTCCTTTCTCTTCCTTCATTTCCAAGACAAGGAAACAAACGTTGCCTCGCCTCTCTTTCTTTCTTCCATCTTCTCTTCCCTCACTTCGTTCTCCTCCTCCTGTCCAACAATGCACCGACGTCCCCCCCCCCCCCAAAAAAAACAAGATCATTCAAACGCAAAAAAACTATTCCTGTTGTGTATATAATATTGTGAAAGGAGGTGCTAAAAAGAAGGATGGGTAAGAAACAGCATGCATACATAGCAAGAAACAAATCGAAGCAAAAAAAAAGCCCGACGTGGGGGTCGAACCCACAACCTTGAGATTTTGAAACAATCGTGCCTTTGAGGGCGTGATAACTAAGAGTCTCACGCTCTACCGATTGAGCTAGCCGGGCGATTGATGAAGGTCTGAAATTTTTTTTTCATTATATCCATTTTTTTCCAGCCTTGGGAAAAAAACCACAAGAAGGAGGCAAAGCAATCGAGGAAGGGGCATTGTATTTGCAAAAAAAAACTATTTTCAATTTTGATCCGACGGAAGCTGCTGTGGGGGCGCGCATTTCACGCGAAAAAAAAACGGCGGGGTAAGTGGAAATCCTATGGAAATATTTGTAAACATGCTCGTATTGGAACTTATTGGACTGTGTTGGGAGAGTATTTTTTGGCGCTAGAGCAAAGAGAGGTATTAATAAATATTTGGAAGAGAGAGAGTGTGTGTGAAAAAAAGGAGTTATATAGCAGTTCATGTTCTTAACAAAACCTTTGAATGAATCATGCAACGAAACCTTATCTTTTAAATTCCAAAAAAAGTATAACTTCTTTTTTTAGCATTTCGCTACGTACTTTTTGTCATCTTCTAGCCATGAGTCAAAGTTATGACAAAGACGATACAACTTCCTGGATTAAATATGCCTATGGTGTGTCGTGACGGGTCGTTAAATATAGTCTATACCCGTGGGGAAGTCTATGATTAAAGAAATAAACAGGTCGCAGGCCCTGGGACGCCCAGCTAAAAAAAATCAAAAAAAGAGTCCGTAGTAGGAATGCCCTTAACTCTGGTAGGAAAGAAACAAACCCCCTTTTCTGCCCTTCTCGTTCCCCAGTTTTTTTTTTACAATTGTGTGACATGGCTTTGCACCAAAAAAAGACTCTCCCTCTCTTTTGATTCGGCCCTTCCTCCTCTTGTTCCAGATTATGAATCCATGAGATATTCATTCAGGCACGGATTTCTCCCATCTGAATTCTGCAGCATGCCTGCTTGATCTCGCCGTAATTGCTCGACCTCAGCCCTTAGCGCATCCCTCTCTTTCTCAATCGCCTGAATATAATCAATAGCGCTGGCTAAAATGGTCGCTTTGCTCGGTTTCGGTTGTCCAATTGAACTTGTTCCGTCATTTTGCCGAAGTAAAGGTACCGCTCTCCGTAATCTTTCGAGCTCCGAGTTGAGTCCTTCACGGTACTTGCGTTCGACCTGATTGTGCGGCTGGCGCCTTGAAGTCTGGCTTTTTAGAGTAGGCGATGTTGCAGCAAGCTGGCTGTCGGTACTACTGCGGCTCATCCTCGGGCGACCCCGCTTCCTGGTTGGTCGTTTTGGTGTCGAAGACTCCGACGCTGATGCAGGCGACGATGGGGATTCGCGCTTTAGCGTGTGGGGACTTAGCGACGGGGAGACGGCTTGGTGTGGTGCATCGCTTGAGTGTGATGAGGAATGTGATGTCGTTACTGTTGTTATGGGCGAGAAAGAATCATGCTCGCCGGCTTGTGGTGGTGTGGGATGTATGGAGAAATCACCCCTGTATTGCTCGAATTGCCCAAATTGCGGTTGATTGTAAGTTTGCGGGTAGGACTGTTGATGGCTCGAAGATGGCAGTATAGTCACCGGTAACTTGGAGGCTGTTGTCCTTTGGGATTTGGGCTGGGTATTCGAGGCGCCCTCGATGGATGTGGTCGGTTGACTGAAGAAGTTGTCCGAGTCAAAGAAGGAGTTCAATGTGTAGTCAGGACCTGGGTCGAAGACATCGCTGAGATATGGATTGTCAAAGTAATTCGAGTACGGCATGTCATCTGCTGGTGGAGTGTCTCCGGTCTTGGACCCTCTCGTATTTCTGGGGGCATTCATCAGCTTAATGAAGTCGAGATTGATTGATGGTGTGGTGGGTATTCGACGATAGCGTATGTAGTAAGTAGTGACTATCCGGGATTGAAGGATTAACGAGCTATGACAATGACAGCCGGGTCGGCATAACCAGGCGTTTAATAAGAGAAAGATACGAGAACGTAATTGTATCGACGATTCGAGAACGGCACAGCCAATGAGGTGGGTAATTGTAGCTTGTGACCTGCCTGAAATTCAGGTCGTAGGCCAATCAATTTCCGGCGTAATGGTTCAGTCAAGTGCGGACGCTTCGAGCAGCTGTAGGGTAATCCCAAAATCGCAAGGTACTTGTGGATCCATCCTCCAATTAATCATCGCAGGCATGCCGAGCAAAAGTCGGCTGCTCCCTTGATGCTTTGTAAAGCATGTACAGTGCATTCGAGCATCCAGATTTTGGAGGAGACGCACATGTCGAATGATGAGCACCTCATCGGCATTGCCCGGTAACAAGAGCATCTCGTGCTGTGCTGGGCCCAGCGCGCCACTGAACCGGGCGAGAGTCGTGTTCCGCGAGTCCTCCGAGACCGACATGCCGGAACCACTGATTCACGTCGCAAGGATGAAACATTTTCTTAGGCAAATAGTTCAGCAACTGGTCATGGCGTTTGGGGCGCAGTTGTCTGAATGTGCAGCAGCAGTAATAGCAGCTGCGGAGCCCAGGTGAAGGATATCGGCAGCTCTCACGGTGGAACTGTGCTTTGGCGGCGCATGGCAGCAACCTTTTCAAGGTTGCTAAACCATGGTACGTACGTAGTTTCTTCGTCAGATGTCGCTTACCCCTGCGAGCATGTGTGTGCAAGCGGCTGCTACATGATAGTCGTGAGTAGAGGACGCGTCGTGCCTAGTCTTGTCTTAGTCACGGGAACGTCTAGACTAGCAATTGTTTGCTAAGAATTGCTCGTGCGAATGCAGGTCGAAGGAAAATTCACCAACACCCTGTGATGTCACAGTTTTGCGTCGCGTGGAAGCGGCTAGGCGCATGTTGGGGACGCTGATTGTGGCGCCACATGGAGAGCTGTGGGTGTCGGCGGGTGTTTCCGTAGCTGTCAGTTGCAGGGCCTGGAAATAGCCCGGGCACTGTGAGGGAAGTGGATTGGATATCTACGTCGTTAAGATTCTCCGTTGTCTGTATGTGTGGATGCTGTCAGCGTGGTTGACGGGACGGCCGGGCAGTTGGAGAAAATGGCGTGATACTGGTCCGATGCGACCCGATCGGGTAAACTTTTAGGCCCAAAGCTAGCATGACTAGCCATCAAGACTCATGGCAATCCCAATCCCTGTGGAGTGTGCATCGCAGTCGTCTTGCTCTCGCACTGCATATCAAGTATTAATCTTTTCCTTGGCCATGTCTGCTTTAGCCGACCTGGCAATTATGTGCCTCGTCGCCAACAAAATGCCTACTGCATAACTGGGCCACCAACTTGGCCGCGAACAGTCGACTCCGTATTCCCCTCAGCCATGAAGGAACAAACAAAGAGCGGGGTATTCACTCGTGCTCAGCCGTGGTTTGCGCACTCAGATTAATGTTGCTACCTTAGTAGGGTACTACTAGGCGAAATGGGTTGCATGTTGATGCCTACGCACCACTTCTCGAGCCTGTTGCATTGCAACCCCGCGCCAACCCTCGCCAGACCTCAGATCCCCCAGGTTCCAGGCTCGTCTCCACCATGTCGACCACAATCACATCTTCCGCACCAGCTCACATCAAAACTCGCTTTCTCATCATCTCTGACACACACTCTGCTACTCCCTCGCAGAATGCCGCCAACAATGACACAGCCTTTCGTCCACCGCTCCCCAAAGCAGATGTACTTCTTCACTGCGGCGACTTGACCATGGTTGGTCACTTGACCGAGTATGAGAAAACCCTGGACATGTTGGCGGCTATCGATGCTGGTCTGAAGCTCGCCATTGCGGGCAACCACGACATTACTCTAGACGCCCACTATTATGGCAAAAAGGGCAGATTTATGCATGGAAAACAGTATGACCAAGAACTATCGGCTAAAGCAAGAGAGTTGTGGACTGGTGAGCGAGCCAAAAAGGCAGGTGTGACTTATCTCGACGAGGGAGTACATATATTCCAGTTGGAAAATGGAGCGAATCTGCGGGTAAAACGCCTATTTGCCATGTCTGGACCCGCGTGCAACAACTGACATCATTACCAAGGTTTATGCATCTCCCTATCAGCCGGAATTTTGCGGTTGGGCATTTCCTTACAATCGAGATGAAGACCGTTACAATCCGTCCCACCAGTGCACTCCATATGCCAAACCTATCGCCGAGAATCCCATTCCTGATCACCCCAACATCGATGTCATGATGACCCATGGACCGCCTTTTGGTGTCTTGGACGCAACGCAAACTGGCGAGCTAGTCGGCTGCCAACATCTCCTCCGGGCTGCTAGGCGCTGTAGGCCACGTTTACATTGCTTTGGACATATACATGAAGGATGGGGGGCACAGAAGGTGCTATGGAATAACGGCGAACCGGATATCAAGCCTGAACAGTGTATCCAAAGAGCCGATACCATACCTGTTGATGGTGGGAAGACCGCAAATGAGAGGGCAGCGACTGTAGACATTAGCCAGGGAAGCAGTATTGCAGTCGAGTTTGGAAAGGAGACTTTGATGGTCAATGCCAGCATCATGAATGTTCGTTATGATCCATGGAACGGACCATGGCTTGTGGATCTGGATCTCGAGCGAGCAAGTTGAGCCCGTTCGTTCGGTCTGTTGCTGACGTGTGTAACTTCTGGAGATATCAAAGGCCAAGCACTTTTACTACCCTGGTTCTGGGCATTAGTGTGGAGGAGTATAGCTCTTGGCAGCGGTAGTTCAGGTGATCTTTGCACTGAATTGCCGCTCTTTGTAAGAGAATAGCTTGTATCAATATACCGTGGACCCGCAAGCTAAGCTCAGTGCCGAAGAGCTTGGCTACAAAGGAGACATTGTCAAAAGAGCTTAGCGAGTGGTGTTGGGTTGCGTAACAATCCATTCTCTGAATCCTACGTGTGGGTCATTCTAGAGTTGAAGCAGGTCTGGTCTCGGGTATTTGTTAGAGAACACTAATAAGCCATAGTTTTTGAGTACGTATGGCATGATCAGATGAGGCCATACACCTCCCATGCCCGACATCAACTCCCCTGCGTTCTCCTCTAGACTGACCCACATCCACCCCTCTTCAACAAAAAAGATTCGGTCTCACTCTTTTAGTCTAAGAAGTAAAAATTCAGTGGCCTACTACATCAGCCGAGGAGACGCCATTAATAGGTACCATGCCTATATCATTCGCTCTTCAGCTTCTTTCTAAGAATAGAATAAACCCAATCATGGATCACGTACACTACACACTCGCTACATATTTTCAAATCATAGCCTTTACCGCCGGGCATTTAACAAGCATGGATTTCGGCGTATAGCCTTATGTGATATTTTTGTATCAAGAATATTAATAATCGTACCGATTGTCTGCCCAGGCACATATCGCCTGCATAATTGTACCGATTCTTTGCCCGCGGAGATACAACTTACTTTCTGAATTGGAAAAGGGGGGGATCATACGCTTTTCGAAGTAGAATAACATGTAAAGTTATACCAAAATTAGTGAATGCATATGCATCACACCGCTTATTTCTGCAACCCCAGCCATCGGTTTTGTATCCAACTAGTCATGTCATATATTCTATTTCCTAATTCTACACCTGGAGTTTTAGTCAATGAGTGTCGCTCTTAACTCAAAGCAGAGGCGTTGACCATCAATCTAATCCAATACGAACCTATATATTGAATTGGATTAGAGCGATAAAACAGAATGACTCGGGTTGTTGCAATCCAGATTGATTGTTAGACAAGTCGGTTAACCCATACAAGGATATATTTCGCCATCCCGCCAAGTCAACGACTCACACTAAATAAATACCTTACAACGTTGTACCACATTATGCAGAACAATGTCAAGCAAACGCATCACACCATAGAAGAAAAATAGCTCCAAATAATAGTATTTCCAGTGATCTCAGTATCACATAACTGCTCCCTATAAAACAGACTAGCCCAGATAGATTATATTGTGTGCCAGGCTCTATACAAGATAACCTCAATTGCAAAAGGTATAACAACGAGGGGATGGGAGAGACAGACGAACGACATGGCCAACTTATAGACACTACAGAGCTTTGCTGCACTGCGTGTCCTTAATGCAACTATAGTATATTGTGCTGCTAGCTCGTCGCAACTGTAGTTCGCTGTTCTACTGCCTTCGTCGCGACCGCATTTTAGCTATTGTACCTAATAGACGTGCCTAATAGGCATATAACTATTGAGAACTTTTTAGTAGTATTACTAATACATTACAATTTGACTGCAAAGTTATATTTTTTTTATACCCGATTGCGGTAGGTTGGGGTGTGGCCTGCCATTCTTTTCTAAGATGATTGATCTGATACGCTACATAGCAAACAGATGAAAAAAAAAGTCAAGTAATAACAACGAGAGAAGTTTGGTAGGTAGGATTCAGAAGCACAATAGACATCTAACAAGCGATCGTATCTGTTGACTTCCATAAAGTGGTTTTTTGTTAGGATAAGCAGCATCTCACAATGACTTTGCAAGACCTAGCAATTCTACACGGCTATGTCACTAGATTTTTTTTCATGGTGTCACGGAGGCAAAGGTCACGTAGGTGAAGGATTTGAGAATGACACGACAGCGTTATTGTTTCTTTGCCAGCCTTTGTATGAGACGCAGGAGTTCCAAGACGTAGTTCTAGAGTTAAAGTTGTGGAGAGGTTGGGTTAGGTCAGTAGGGGAAATAACGGGGCCTGTTGGAGAAATACGAAGGGAGGGCACGGAACATGCGACGTGTCTCGTATATTCCTGTTCTGAGTTAAATGTCTCGAAATGTGGAGCTGGGAGGAAAGTAGGGGAGGGGGAAGTGGCCTGATTCTTCGAAAAGGGAGAATAATATCGGTCAGGGATTTTACTTCTCGCGGTGCGACAGGTGGAATTGAGGGAGAAAACAGGCTTTCGTACAGGATGAGATTGTTGTTCTGGTGGAGGACTGTGTGGATTGGAGAGTTGTGCTGAGTGATGTATGCATATATTTGTGCACAGGCGGCAGCTCTGCAACTGAGCAAGTTACAGAGTGTTACTTTGTCCACTGTATGGAGAAGAGTGAACATAGATCCGCAAGAATGGATCACAAATATATATGTGTCTGTGTATACATACAGTGAAGACAAACTACAGTACCGTTGACAGATCATCTCCCATCCTTTCGCTTCAACCCGCAGGGCGTCTGTCACAGGAACCACCGTGCTTCATACGATACTCCCCACAAATTGGGGAAAAGAGGCAATGCGTCACCACTGCAAGTCTACGCTTCGTCCGTCCGCATACCCCACAGGAGGTTTTGCAGACAGAACGTTGATCATTCACACACATACACACATACATCCCTTTGCTTCTCCTCTGTTTCTCCCCTTACCTCCCCCTTTCCCTCTCAGAAAATAATCAAACAACCCCAAACAAGACAAAGCACACACCCCAATCATCACTCTCCGACTCAAGCCGTCTCCCCCCTTCAATCAAGCTACCTTAGAATCCCTAACCCAGCACCCACCAACCTCCTTAATCCCCCTTCCCCTCCCCAAACCCAGGTCCATCCATCTTCCTCGCAGACACTCCCCAATCGAGCCGTCGCCCACTCTAGCCCCACCAGTCCAACCGCCATCACCGGAGGCGCTCGATTCCTGTGCCCGATTTCCCACCATCGGACGGGATACGCTGTGTGGCAATCGAAGTAGTAGCGTGCGGAGGAGGCGTTATCCGAGTGAAAAAAAAAATAGTACTCCGTAGGCAAAGTAGCGTGGATTGACTAAGGGTAGTGTCAGCCTTGCCAGTGACATGTACCTTTTTTTTAGTAGCTTCTTGCGCCTTGTAAAATAGGCATGTGCCGGTTAGTGGCGAGTGCGAAGTGCCGGGCTGGTTTAGTGTCGTGGTTGACTATTAGGCGGACGTTATACTAGTAGGTTAGTTGGCGGCGATTTGGGGGGAGGGTGGGTGAAGTGACAACAATAGGGGGAAGGGTGGCTTCTAGAAAACTGACAAGTACGAGGTATACGCTACATGACACATGGCTGCGGTAGGCTGTTGTGCTTGCGATTCGTACGTAGGAAACAGTGGTCATTTTTTTTCGATAGTATTGAGTCAGAGTGATTTTCTGAGCTGAGTGGCCATCATAGTATCACGGAGGTTTCCTGAAGGGTTCCTAGCCTATCGTTCAAGTCTTGCCACGATGACCTGAGAAGAAGCTTGCCTCCTCCCTCCCCTTTTTTTCTCCCTCGTTTGCCTCATAGTAGGTCCTTTTTCCATCAGGAGACGGAGACAGAGACAGAGACAGAGACATCGATCACCTTGTTCGTACCTTTCCACAGGACCAAGTTTTCTTATCGCCAGACTGAATCATAGCACTGGGGAAAGCTGACAGGACAACAAGTGCCGTTTCTTCTTGCCTTGCGCACTAGTATCTTATTTTCACTTTGCAAATTGAATACACGTCCGTCCGCCCGTACTATCTTTTTTTAACCACATCGGCGTCATACAGCGACCGTATTCGCGTGATGTTGGTATGATGACTGCTGCTGTTGCTCCACCGACGCAGAGGGAGAGAGCCACATTATGCATTTCGCTGTCATACCACCGCTCTCACTTACCGGCGGTCAAGTACCAAAGTGACATTCCATGTAACCGACACAAGTGTCATTCACATGCCGCCAGTGTGTTGGAAACAAAAGGGCAACAACAATTGCTTGGTCATACTTACCTCAGCAACTTACGAAGGTTGCGTGATCTCGGTGTGCGAACTCACTTCGAACCCCCACTCTATTCTTTTGCCGACCGCGCATTCGTTTTCGGGCATTTTCTGTGCCTCCGCACCCCCTTCCCTTATGCTTATTTTGCATCCTTGCACGTTTGGAGTTGTGATGCGTTTGTGGGGCCCTGTCGCAAGTTGTCAGTAGAGACCATCTTGTAATAACATACATACACACACACTCATACACGCACTAAGATTCTGCATGCATCTTTTCCATCGCGGTCATCGGCGTCGTCGGAGTCGTCGTGGCCCTGCATTAACTTTGTTATGCGAGGGGTCCCCCCCTCCCTTGTGGACTCGCTCTAAGTATTGGCCGAACACTCTATGTGCGGATACCCTTGGGACGATCCACAATGTTGGGAATGTCACTTCTGCCTATTCTGTAGGTGTTGTCTGACCACATTTTATTGAATCTTATTTTATGCACTGTATTTTGTCGTTTCCTTCGCCTGAGGAATTACACCGGCGGTCTCCTGTCGCAAAACGGATATACTTCCTTTTTCACTCGCTATGCATTTTAAAAACGAGCGGTCATAGGGATCAACGCCCGGTATTAAAGAGCCGGCGATGAGCGGTTCTGCCGATCGAGATGCCAAGCCAAAGGGGTGTGACCGACTACAAACTAGTGAAACCCCGCATCTTATTTCCTTGTTTGTTGTAGATCGGTGGTTACGATAGTAATCGCACTCCTAACATTCGCGAATTTTCTTGACCGGCGCAGAGGAAGCAGTGTGTTCGGAAAAGATTACCGGAATTTTTTTCTTACATTTTGCTGTTGCGAAAGTTTCCGCCTTGCTGATGTGGCGAGCAGATTGGGAACTTCGACTACAGCAATTGGAGAACGGAGATGGAAAACAGTGCTCCGAGTGAGAATTATGGTGTAGTGGGGCCTGTAAGACACCCACATAGGCACTGGGCTAGCTATATGAACGAGCTATGCCAATTACAGCAATAAGAGCGACTTTCTGGGACTTGGGCGCGGGCGCAACCTCAGCTCAGGACCCGGACCCGGATCGGAGGCTCTACCGGTAGGTCGGAATAATTTCTCGACCAAAAGAACCGGTCGCAAGCGATACATTTTGTTATAATAAGACCAGAGAAAAATTATAGCGTACGGTGGTAGGGCAGTGCCGTAAGTAAGCACATACTTCTGCGATTGTTCGTTGAGACCCCTGACCGGCCGGCGAGTCAGGGTTCAAGGTATCATCTGCCGAATCAGCTAAGAGATGTGCATATGTACACTTAGAACAAAAGGGAATTGCCGGATGGCTATCATAAACCCTGATTCCATGGAGAAGGCGATGGACAGGCTAAGTTGCTTTAGTGTTGTCACCGGTGCAAAAAGGCGATGTCATTGCATGTCATTGTACAGCGGTGCATGGCCAAAATCGAAAATCCCTATCAATGGCACAGAGTCGAGTAAAGTGCCGAAGAGTCATAGCTCAATGACGGCTAGTGCTCTGTATGTAGGGACAACAAGTGAGGCTGCTTGGACATTTTTTTCCTTTCCGGTTTGGCATACCTGAATCCCCCCCACATACATCAGAGTATGTAACTGTTGTCCAAGATGACCAAACTTTATTTGTAACGCAAGCCACAGTGGGGCTTTGGACCAAGGTACTAATTGAAGGTGGATACGCGGAGAAGGCTCCGTTGATTGTATGTGAGTACACAGGTACATGAGCATGTATATGCTAGTAAGTACTTAAGTACGTACAAATATAACATAGATGGTTAATTTGCAGGGCGTATGGCGGTTAGTCGAGGGCGAACGTTGGGCAAACGGTCAGCTTAGAAGCGCGCTTAGACGGAGGGTAACGAGTATGAGGACGATTAGGGTTAGGCCATACTTTGGCCACTGACTCCTGAAGATCAGCGATTGGGTTCTGGTGAAGCGGACACTATCCGGCGGAATGCTGATCTCCAGAGTCCTGGAATGAGCGTATGCCTGACAGAGTGGCACATGTCCACAAGCCAGAGTTTCAACTATAGGCGAAGCCAAGACACGTAAGCCTTTTTGTCGTATATGTATGTGCGCAGGTACGCAATACGCAATACGCGAATTAGTGCATTGGGAAGCAATGATATAGAGCATTCATTTCGCGACTCGACAAGTATGTGGTGCAAGTTCGTTCGTGGTTGTCATGCCTGATGAGCGTTTAATGCAAAACCAAACACGAACTTTGCAAGCGAGGTACTTACAGTTACGACTGACTGGGGGCATATATCGTATCGGAAGTACATGCTTCAAGGTTTGGCCGTCTTTGGGGATGTTTGGCCCAAGCGTTTTAGGGCGACAGACCCCGGTCTGATGATTACTTTAGATATACCGCAAGCAACGATGAACCGCCAGACATGTCGCCACGCCGGTAGCCGGAGGATGGAGGATGTAGAGAGTTGTCAGAGTCTCAGGGGAAGGGTTGTATGCTTGGGCCTGCCATATACTGGGTGTAGGCTTACCGGACTCTTTGCGTTTATGTAGATGAATACGTACCAAGACGGACCAATGTAGGGGACGTGTGCCTGAAACCGGGTCTTTGTAATACAGAGAGGTGCTAGGGTTTGGGCGATGTTGTGCGAGGCAGGGATAGTGTAAGCGAAGCATAAGCAAAGAAGAGGCACGGAGGGAGTAAAACGTGGAGGCGAGTGTAGATATTACGCCGTCAAACTTGGGGTCAAGTCGGCAGGGCTGGCGTGGTGATTGTCTCTAGATGACGAACTCTGGGGATCGGCTTGGTTGTAAAGTGCTGAGCCGGGTCAAGGGTTGAAGGAAGTTTGGGGTTGCTTGCAGAGCGAGAAATGGGGAGGGTGGCACGTGGCAGCTTGGTGATGCACCGGGCGGCAGTCTTCTTTCTGGCCTGTCGCCGACGCATATCGTGGAGCTGAGCGAGAAGGAAGTATTGGGGCGAGATGCAGCGTGGGGCACAGTGAAGGATTAGGTGATGATATGACGCTGGTGTGAGAGAGGATACGACAGCTGGCAGATGCGAGACGGCGCTCGGTGCAGCAATGGTCGTGGTGGTGTGCTAAGTGTAGAGAGTGAGTAGAGCCGAGCAATAAGGCGTGGTAGCTTGTTGGCTGGTCGTAGTATAGAAAAAGGACACTGCACACACTATTGTGTAGGTGCGGTATAGTATAGTATAGTATAGTACAGTATAGTATAGTAGCGTAGACAGGTGGAGGGGGTGGGAGAAGGAACGTGGCAGCATGGTGGCGCCCCCACAAGCGCCTGCGAACAGTGTGCCGGTGCACAGTTGCAAAGCAGCAGCAGCAGCAACGGCTGCCGACGGCGACACTTACGCTATAGCCAATCAGTAGGGGTGCACTGGCCTAGTATAGAGAGTAAGTAGGCACATCCGCCTAGAGTGTGGCGGCGTGAGATGTGGTCGCTTGGTCGCTCGGTCGCTCGGTCGCTCCTGCCATGGCCCTTTCACTGCTCCTGCAACTGGCAGGCACGCGTCGCGAACCCCCAAGGCACGGAAGTCGCGACTAAGCGAGCGGCCAAGGACGGCGAGCGGCCAGGGGGGGAAGGCACCACCCACCATGGCCAACCCCAACTGCACTGAGGCTGTTCACCAGCGGGACCACAGCGCCTCTCGCCTGCGAGTGCCCGCTCACACCAGCCTACTGATCGTGCACCCTCGACTTCAACCGATCGAGCGAGAGCCCTGGACGTCCGGAGCGTTTCAGATACAACTACACAACCATTTAGCCAAAATGCACACAATGGCCGCGCTAGTGCCCTGCTGTATCTTTGCAGCTGCGCAAGCCAACGCCCGAGCTAGGCTAAGGCAATACCAGAGACCTGGTCCAAAGGAAGACAAGGAGAAAAAAAGCTTCGAGCACCCAGTGCCCTCGGTCCGCCATCATGAACAGGCGACATGACATAGACAGGGCGCTCGCCGACGTCGCCCTTGGCTGCTCGAGCTGCGAGATATCCCACGACCTCCGAGGCCAGCGGACAAGCTACCCAGGCGATACCCTCCGCGCCTCACCAACCACCACCCTTGCCCCCCACCTGGTGGCGGTACGATAGATGCCGCACAGATGGCGAGGGAGAAATCGAGACGCCTCAGAAGGACCGAAAGGATTTTGTATCAGATCGCGACTCCCACGTGCAATCGCCAGGCTTGGACTACTGTCCGGGCTATTGGAGTGCAGGTCATGCACCAAGACCATAGCCACAGCGCCGGGTCAGGCCTCACGCGCATTAATCGACCACTGGCCCTCACCACGTACTGCTATCCACTTGCGAGACTTGGCCAGTGACATCCACACCCCGGACCAGCCCTTGTGCAACCCGGCTGTGGAAACGCTGGCTGTCCTTAATCACCATGACGCGACTGGACAAGACTCGAGCTTCGCCAGGGCCTGCTAGCGAGATGAACAATGTGGAGAAGGACGCGCTGTCGCAGCCAATTTGTCGCAGACGCTAGCATACCATGACGCCGCCAGCAGTTCACGTCGGCCTTATCCCTGCGACCACGCACCTTGCAGCGCCTCGACACCTCCAGCCAGTGTCGGGGGATCATCGCAGCAGACATGCATTCGCTACCGACCATGTCACGTTACTACCCTCTTGCCAGAGCCACACATGCTCTCATTTGCGCAAACCAAACTCTCCGGGCCCTGGAAAGCCTGCGTCAGCTCCCTCAGTCCCTCTCCCTCTTGTGTGGGCACAAGGCACGTCGGCCCTGTCTCCATCCGGCTCTGAGTCCTCCTCTCGTCCTCGTCATCTGAGATGCCTGACACCACTGCTCAACCCCAGCCAGCCCTAGCTAGCTCGACCACCACCACCATCACCACCACTCGCACTTGCACTTGCACTTGCCCACCCCCTCCCCCTCCTCAACGTTCGCGTGCACAGAGCCTTTCTAAATTAACCTTACGTAGCCTGTCCATATGCTTGACGGATTGACGGCTCCTGCAGTGCGCCGCCATGAATACGGCCCTTATATAGCATCGGACCCAACGACACATTATCGTATAGTTTGCTCCACTAGACCGAGCTAGGAAATTGTCGTGGCTTGAGCACCCCCTCCAAGCGTCGCAAATACAAGTGGATCACGCCGCCGCTGACGCTAGGCGGCTACCGCTGGCTGTCATCGCATCACACCGTCGAGACATGACAGGCAGAGTGTCCCAAGCACCACACACAAGTCCAAAGGGGTCCGAGAACCAACAGGTCATGACGCTTGGACTCTAGCCCTCGTCCGTCTTCACACCCTTCCATCCATACCCGCACATCACTTGGCTCATGCAGGCCCACCAACAGCAACCTGGCCTCGCAAAGATGATCTTGTGCTTGTGAGGAAGGAGGGCTGTTGAACCCTGTGAAATCCTTTGGTGCAAAAAAAGGCGCCCTAACGCAGCTGTCCTGTCGCGTAGTAGCGTCGTCGACATACCTCGCCACTTTTAATCATCCACGCATTCAACCAAACAGCGTCGTCTAAATTTCTATATGCGGACCCTACTCGTCCTTGGTCGTATGCAGCCGTTGCTTTTGGCGCCCTCTCTACTCTGAACATTTCAATACACCCCCGCTGAGGCACAGCTTGCTTGTACAAACGACTAACTGCCAAACTACCCGTCACTTATTAGCGTCAGTGCGCAACTGCTTCATCCTCGCTTTCCTACCACGTCGTTTTATTTGCCCAGGCCCTTGACTATTCCTCGCTCTCGGCCCCGGCCTGTCAGTGCGTTTACGAAAAGTATTGATTAGATCAGGATTCCCATGGCTCGGTAGATCAGCAAGTGTCCCGCCAACTACTCCCGCAGACCAGATCGTAGTGCCGGCTCCAACGTTTGAGAAGTCGCTTTGCCCTACCTTCAAGGTATGTATCGCCGTTTAGCTCCCTTTCCAACAATCTCCTGTTGTGGGGCCCTTGCTGAACTTTAAACATTTGATGCTTATGTCCTTAGGTCCTTCAATGCGCCACCAGGTTTTGGGCACTGACATTCGGGTCTTGCGACAATATTACACATGGCTGTAGTTACAGAACGCCGCGCGAAGAAAACGGTATCTCGACTCGAACACTCGTTGCTTTTACAACCTGTTCAAGACGCCATGCCCTTCAACCCCTCGAACCAAACTCCTGGGTTTAATCACTCCCATGCCGCCGAGACCACCACCACCACACCAAGCCCCACAGAACGAACCGAGCCCTTCCAAGGTAGCCTAACTAGCCAGGAACCTACTGCTCAACATCACAGCAACGCAAGCAAGAAAAGACGCTCTCCCAAAACCAAAGCTTCTGGAGAGCTTCGCAAGTCCACCTCGACTCCCCACATGCGTCACCTAGCCCTTGCCAATCCCGGCGACCTGTCGCCAACAAGCAACAAACCGCGCAACAAGCTGGGCTATCATCGAACTTCGGTTGCATGTGGTGAGTCCATGAGGCTTCTTGTTGTTGACGAGATCATCGTAACTGACTAGTAGTCAAACAGGACATTGCAGAAGGCGCAAGATTCGATGCCTGCTGGCGCCAGATGATCGTCATGGCCGCTGCTCAAACTGCATTCGACTGAAGAAGGAATGCAACTTCTATCCAGTCGAGCATAACGCCGATATGCCACAGTCGCAATCCATCTCGTCCAAATCAAACAGCGCAGTGCAGCCAGCCACACCGGTTTCCACATCACCCAGGCACCCTCTTTCCGCCTCTGGAGACGCAATGGGCGACTTCAGGACGCCTTTCTCAGGGCCACCTTCAGCGGCGCAACCTCTGAGCTATGGCTACCCCATGGAACTCGAAAACGATCCACATCACGCACCCGGCTCCAACGGTTGTAAGTATTACACGGCAGCTCCTCACAACGACACACTAACGACTGCAGTAGCCGTGCAACAGCCTTCCTACCCTTACCCACCCCCTATTGATACTCAGTGGCCGCCGACCAACAGCTTCTTGCCATCTTCTACCGTAGCTGAAAGTCCATCATGGCGACATTCGCCTTCGACAGTAAATTCTGCATATGGAAGTGAATCCAATGTTTCAGGTGGACACACTCCAGCTGCCATGAGCACAAGCTCCACCATGTCCTACGGTCCTCAAGATGGACACTGGGGGCAACAGCCCTCATTCCAACCACCGGCTCGTTCAATGTCCTACGGAAACATCGAGGGCCTTCCACAGCAGTATCCTGGTCAGGGCCTGGGCATTCAAAGCGATAATTACCGACGAACCTCTCCATATCCTTTCCCCGCAACAATAGACACAAACCACTCTACCATACATGCGACCACGCTGAGCAGTTCAGGTCCCGCGCCCCTTTCTGCGCCTGTGGCCCCAAATCATTCTTACTACCCGCCAACGTGGACTTCATACGATTCGATGCCAAGCCATGGCGCACCAATACCCTCGTCTGCGCGATCAATGAGTGCGCATTGGTTTGCAGAGCCGGGACACTTGGATCGCGTCCAAGAAGAGGCAACACCCCCGGTTGGATTTAGCCAGTCAGGCTTACCACAATTCTACTCGGCATCTTGAAGCGCTTTCGCAACCCCGGGGGCCTCTCACTAATTTGGCCAAGATTCATCGCAATACAGACAACCATGAGTTCAAGACTCAAACGTACATACAAGACGCACATTCCAGACCCGTTTCTCAGAAGGATTGAATGGATGTATAAGACTTGATCAGTTTTGCTACTGCGTGTCTTTTGTTGGTACAAGAGAAGGTTATTCAAGGAGTTACAAGGCGCGATTGCATGATTGGGTCCGATATGATCCAGTTATTCTGCTTTTTCCAACGGCTCAGCAACAGTTTGCGCGGGTCCGTGGCATTGGTGCATTGCAGTTCTTGATAGACTGTTGATTTGTTTTTTCCCGCCATTCATCCAGCATTTGCTTGACAAGGCCAGCCTTTTGATTATTTTTTTACGTTTAGCGCTCTCATCAGACATTTTGGGTACGCATTTCAGTCTATCAATTTTTGTATAAATAGCACGAATTAGACCGCCGCCATCTGGACCGGCAGGGTTAGGGGCTCGTGTATGACGCTTGTAGCATGCGCATACAATCGGAGACCCCCAAATACAAGTTAACGCTACCTCACCGCTAGAGTACCTCGGCAGATGACTGAGGTCATGGTTTTCTTTCACTTTTGCCATCGTTTCCTGCAGGGGAATGATACGTTACTTTCCATGGTTTGGTTGGATGGATGGACGGCAGGTCAGTGCGCAGTCTGATGTCGAAGTTCCCATAAGCTGATTTCCAAGGGTCCCAAGGTATGTACTCCGTATTGTACATGCCAAACACGTTTCGAACGGAGCTTACTTCCACGGCACCCACTTTTTTCTATCTTACCAGAACAAGGCATATCCGTGCCAGATTGGGTCGTTGGTGGCTTCGGTTTCGGATACGTTTTCTTCATCAGAGCTGTAGCACGTTTCTTCTAATAGCCTAACGACCGATGGCCATCCGAGGTGCGACGACGCACACTAACGATTGGCATCTGTTTAGCGACCATGGAGTCGGATGTATAGTCGAATCTAGGCGTGATTTGATTCGTTGCATGGACTTGGCTAGATGTATGGCCAACGTCCTTCCTTTTCTGCTAATCGATCAGGCGTATGGGTATATGTGTGTGCGTGTGAAGTGCACATGTCCATCTGTCCATCTGTAACACAAGGCGTGCGGGTCACGGGCCGACTTGTTGCCAGACGGGCGGTGGTCAGGACATGGTATAGAATTTGCAAAGTGAAAGCACTGACATTTAGGCTGTTTTGATCATCATCATCATTATCATCGTCATCGTCATCAGCATCAGCATCGCCGCCACCGGTACCTGCGTATAATGATACGGAAGATGAAGCAAGGCGCTATTACCTCGGCTCTGCTCCAAGCGTAATCTTAATGTGGTCTCGTAGGGCGAAACCGGTATTGCTATACAGAAGGGGAGTAACCTTGCTTGCAGCAGAGAATAGTGGCAATTGGATGAGATTGCACAACTGACGCCCAGGCCCTTCAGTGTTGTCGTGGCTGGCTCATCAAACGGACGGAATAGTTAGGCACAAGGTTCCCGGGCCCTCGGTTATTGCAAAAAAAAGAGGGCTAGCAATAACGACAAGGTAGAGCAGCTATTTTTGCCCACTTTATTGCTCTTCTCCACGCTCTCTTTGGCCGACGTGCACACGGACGCTGTCGGCTCGACTCCACAGTCGCCCGTGATCCTTCAAATTCCGGAGCTCGCGACCATGTTGCTGTGTCGTGTCGGTAGTTGCTGGTGCGGAGGCGAACGGAGATTGCTTTTTGCCCATATCCTCCGTTTCCCTAGACTTGGTGGGAATTTTTCTTTCCTTTTCCCGCTACCACACAGCCGGGAAGGAGGCCCGTCGACGTTGCTCCGAAAAGGCGCTTGCACTCGAGCGAGTTTCGACTACAGACCACGCCTGCTGATCAGTGGTATCGTGTGAATCATGCATTATCAAAGAAGTCAAGGGAAAAAGCCTCGGTTGCTGATGATCCTCTCGGCCGTGTTACTGCAAGTAGTTTGGGGTGTGAAGCAGGCGGAGCGACTCCGACTAGGCGGATAAGCAGTTGTGGGCTTGATGGGACTTTGTTACGAAAGGATGCAACTCTTTTTGCTTATTCCCAACCAGCTGCTACTGCAGGATTCTCTTCCTTGGGCCTGGTGCAGAGCGGGTCCAGAGGACCTGTACTGGTGAAGGGTCTGCATCTGCATGTGGAGAGGGTGCGTCGAATCACTAGCTCGCAGCGTAGTGGATATGCAGGAGTCGTATCGGGCATGGCCAAGTGCGTGCGCTTGTGTTGCAACTGTGTAAGAAAGCTGGTACAAGGGCCGTGGAAGCACACAGCCGTGATTGAACGGTTCTGATAGCTACCAGACAACGGACTCATGGTGCCGTTTGCACAGAACGATTGATGATGGTGCATAGGCCGCCATCATAGCATGCAGCCCTATGCGCGGACGGACGACATGTTCGCTGAAGACTGTGCCAAGAACAGCAGCAATAATGGTGGCACAGCGTGTTGGGTCTTTCTGGTAGGCCTGCAATGCTTGTCCCCAAACGGCCAAGTGGCATGCTGTGTCTGTGGGTTTTTGCTCCTCGTTAGACCCAGATTGTGCATCCAGTCCTGCCCCCTGTCCATCCAGCCCCCCCTCCCCCCAATCCAACCATCCATCGCCGTCTTTGCTCTCCGCTCCGGCCTCGCCGCACACACCACCAAGCTGTCATCGAGTTGGACTCGAATCGACAATGACAACGTCACTAGCGCCACAAAGGCCGGCCGTTGCCGTGTGACAGTTCACCGGCTCGTGGACCCTGCAATGGAAGGTTACAACGCCTATCGCAGTCGTGCCTCTCTCAATCTCGACCTTGTCCGTCAGGCCAACCAAGCACATGCACGTGGATAAGTATCGCTCCTCCATTATCACCTCGCCGTTCTGTTCAAGCACGCAGCGCACCAACGAGTCTGCAATCGCGACAACCCATAACGTCACTCCCCCGAGACCAAGTCGCGTCTCATGCCGCATACATGAACCCTGTCAGATCCGCCTGTCCGTGTCTCTTGCCAGCCGCCCTGACGCGCTCCGTACCTCCCGTTCCGCCTCATCAAGACTCCACCATGGCCGATGAGGGCGCGGTATCCATCATGTAGTGGTACGTATCATGTATGCAATCAATTTTGCCCATCCCAGCCCCTTGAAATGACATGCTCTCTCTTGGCCTTGTTTAACCGCGCGCAAAATCATTCCAACCCACAAACCCAACAAATCGGAACGCCATGCAACCACTACTTACCATGTCTAATCTCTATACCAATGAAGCCCCCTCGCAGCCTTTTTTCCAAACACCCAAACCACTATACAGCGTATGCAAGCAAGACAGCGTGACCTCAAGGCCATGCGCTCCTGCCTCCGCTACGCTGCAAACGCCACCGTCTGCTTTACATTAGCCGTCAATCTTCCAATCCTTCTACCCGACCCGGGCAGGAAATCCGAACCACGCCACAAACCCACTTGCATCTGACAAGCAACGCGCATGTGAATCCAAACACATGAAGCAAAAACATGCGACCATCTGCATCCGCTCAACTTGCAGGCGCCGTGACGCGCAATCGGACCTATTCGCCCTGGCATACACGACGGCGTTTGTTTCTCCCTACCATCATCTCTGTCCTTTTCTCTCCCTCTCGATATTTCTCTCTTGATGTCTCGACAGACTTTTGTGTTGGTTGGTGCAAGCGTGTATCGGTGATCGGTAAGGCAGTGCGCAAGCGTGGTCCCACGCGCGCGTACCAACAGGAATACAAGGTTTGACAAAACACACGCTACTACCTCGTCATCTAGGCCTTGGTCTCCTTACACAAGCAGCGCGTTCATCCTTTGGTGCGTGCGTTTGTGTCTTTGTCAGTAAGTACTCACGTGTGGAGTACCTGCATACGTCCGTCCGTCGATACTATTTGCATTCACATACCCATCTCTTTGCGGCATGGGTCCCCGCCTGTCTGTCTCCGTCTCGCGTCCGCGGCTGATGATGTGCATACGGGGTTTCTCCCACCGGTCCGCGGGACCATGGCAAGTGGAGAGAGGGAGGGGTGCGAGAGGTATGTGGGGGAGGTAAAAGAGAAAAGGACCAAACGAGCGATATACCGCAAGTCATCCGAGCTTTTTTTTACATCTTTACCTCTAACTCGGAGTCGGAACACTGGGTTGTGGAGCCAGCCCCCCCCTTCTTCCTCCAGACCAGCCCCCCTCGCTGCTCCTTCACCCACTTCACATGCATTAGCGCATTCCCGATTTTTTGCTTCTTCCTTTGCGTCTCCACTCTTCCTTCCCTGCGTACTTCTTTCTTTGCTCTTTTGAGCCACCATGGCAATTGTGTAATGAGGACGTTGGAGAAACGGTCCGAAGACGAAAGAGGAAAATAAAAAACAAACAAAAAAAGACCAAGAAAACACCAAGATAAAGTAATACGAGAGGAAAATTTATGTTCGTCTCGGTCTTTTTTTTTCCGCGTATACTACTCCTCATACACACCACCATCACATTCCCTTTTCCATCTCTCTCTTACACATACTCTCTCCTCCCTAAATCACCCTCCCCACATCCAAACCACCAAATATGTCACACGCCCCAATCGAAAACCCGCCTGTCTGCTTCCGCCCACACCCCCCCAAAACATCCCCAGGAAGCATACAACCGGGCCACCAACCACCAACCTTCTTGGCAAAAAAGAACCCTCTCTCAGCTCTAACCCCCATTCCCCATGCAACAATAACAACCCCATCTAACTCCTTAATCCGGTGGTTTCCACCATAACCCCTTGTCCCCGTCCATACCTACGCTTTCCCAGCCCTTAGCTTGTATCATTGTATCAAAAGCCACTCTACGTTACGTACGTAGCGAAGTAAAGTGAGTAGCTAGGTAGGTTAGGTGTGAGTGGAGAAGGTGGAGTGTACTTCATGTACGACATCAGCCCGCGGACCCCCCTTCCCTTACCATCCCCATCCCCACTCTCGTCCTGCGAGGCGTTGGCACGTAACTGGGGTGTTCCCTTTGCTTTGGGTCGGTTGACCGCAGGCGTATATATATGTGTGTGTGTGTGGAGATTTGCTTCAGCACCGATGCTGCGGTATAAATTGCCAGGGTATAGGTGACATCGTAGTTGACCTTACTCGGGTGTGTGGTGAGTGAGGGGGGAGGAAGAGTCATGTAAGAGGTTGCTTGTACTGGATGGGGTAGTGCAACTTCGCCGACCTTTGTGGGGGGGGGGGGGTTGTCGTGACTAAGTTGGGTGAGATAGAGATCGAGATGGGGATCGAGATTTGTAAGATGGGTTGGGTACCGGGGGGGAGGGGTCAGATACGAGGGTGTATATGTAAGATTTGTAAGATGGATGCGCAGTGGGATGAGGGGGAGTGGAGATGATAAGGTAGTGTATAATTTCTCGTTAGATTTTAGAAAGTTTGGAGGGAGACGGGGAGAACATGAAAAAATAAGGAAAAATATGAACCAAAGGAAAACCTTTGCTCAATAATGAGAGTGTGCATAAAATCACTAGGAGAAAATACTCGCAGAAAGGCTACATATGTGCAGCGCCCATTTTTTGATACCTATCTACATATTAAACCCAACCCCCTACCAACTCCATTAATGAAACTTTGCCTCAACACTCCCATACCGTACCCCTTCGACCTTGAGTTCAAACACCAACCCTGCACTTTGACACCGCATGTCGAGTGTAAAATCCAGATTATCAAACTCAACTCCCTTTGTCGTTTTCAGACGGGTAAACAAGCTTTTAGGCACGGTATTCAAATCAGTGGTGAGTGTGCAAACGTTGATGAGATCCTTGGTAAGAGAGTCTGGAGCAACGTCAGCATCGCAGGCGATGAGGTCGTCTTCTACAACGAGGGATTGCCCGGGGCGAAAGTTGCGGGTGTAGTGGAAGGATATAGGACGAGATTCGGATACTTGGGCGCCCTGAAATTGGTAAATGTTAGTGGACTGATTGTGTAGCTAAAGAGGGAGAATGCATTATTACCTTTGCAATGTGCCATTGCATTCGGTCAGATACCATCCACCGCTCCCACAGCGGGCTCCAGTAACGGTCGGAGATGGGGTGTTTGGACTCGTCAAAAACAGTTGCGTAGCTTGTGCCGTAGTGCCAGCGACTTCGTCGGCTGATAACCATGTTGCCCTCCAGACCTCTCAGTACGGCGCCGCGCACGACAGCGGTCCATGCGTGTATGGGTTGGTAAATCTCAATAGACTGGGCCACTTCCGGGGCGACGTAATGGGTTGCCCTCTCGGTATATGGTGGCGGTGGCGCGCTGTTGAAGTGTGACTTCATCCGACTGTAGAGGTAATTGCTCTGTCCAAACCCTCCGACCAATATGATGCCACACACCAAACCTCCTTTTTGCCTTATATTCTCGACTTGACCTTCTACTAAATGTATGACCTCTTCTATGACTGGATCAAATAGACCCTTGACTTGCTCGGCACTCATGACCAGGAACCCGGAATCCAGCCCCGCCTCTTCATCGTCTGGAAGACCCGGGAAGGGAATGTTGACTTCACTGTGTTCCTCCTCGTTGAAGTTGCGCTTGACGAATTCTTCGAAATACTTCAAGCCCATGTTCCACGTCTTTTGCTTCTTCTCGCGCATCCATGTGTACCGCTCTGCTCCAATCCGTTGCTTGACGTGTTCTTCGAAGCGGTAGTTGATAAAAGTAGAGCCGCAGAGACCACCAGTTCCAACAGCCGACTCTTCAACGCGCAAAGGGAATAGCTGGTTGATCTTGTAGGCAATCAAATCAACCGTGCCGCCTCCAGCATCGCATACAATGAAGTTGTCGCCGGCCCTGAGGTGGTTTGGTTGAATGGCCTTGAGCGTATATACGGCAGCCGCTTCGGGTTCAGATATGAGCTTCAGTTCATGTCTGTTGCCCATGCCAGCCTTTTCGGCAGCCTTTAGAGTCGCGTCCTTGGCCGCGTCTGACCATACAGCAGGTACCGTCAGGACAAACTCGACCTTGGTCAAACTAATAAAAGCCTCGCCATATCTCCGGGTCAAGGTCTCCATGGTATGCTTGTATATTTGCGACAGGTAGTCGGTGGCTGCCTCAATAACTGTCTTGCCGTGCTTGCGCAGCTGGGCAGCCGTGTCCAGAGGCGATACATAATGCGGAAGCTTCTGATTTCGGTCGAGGAAGAGCTTGATACACCGAAGGCGCGTCTCGTCTGGCTTGAACTGGAAGCCCCATTTGATGGTCGGCGCGGGCTTGGTTAGCGCATTGAGCGAGGCAGTGGAGTCGCGTTGCAGGGCCGGTTCGGTGTAGCCAATCTCTGTAGGGACCTTGTCGGAGGTGATACCTGGCGGCGCGTGTCAACTCTTCGAGGTACATGGTGTCGCGGATGCACAAGAGCTCACCATTTCCACCGGGCCAAGTCTTGATGATGTCAATATCGTCAGGATTTGCGCTGTACACGGCAGCAACGCCTGTCGGTGGTCAGCCTTGGTTCGCATCAGGCGGCACAGTTACCACGGTTGCAACAGGTGTATCTACCGCTGTATGTGGTCCCAAAGTCAACACCTACAACCAGCCTGTCTTTGGGTGAAGTGGCGGGCGGTGGCAGGCTGCCAGCGTCCACGCTGCCATTGGAACCTGGGTTGAAGGTGGTGGGTATGCTACTCCCTCTGCTAGGAAATGTGCTCTTCATTTTCTGCTCCCCAGTCTCCGTGCTGGCTGTGGCGGTGCTATGGGCGTCGAAGGACAGGCGTGGGCGTCGCGTGGGGTACTATGTCAGCGGGGCTGAATCCTGCCAGAGGAGAGCAGAAGCTCATTGAAATGCAACGGCGCGTACAGGAGACGCCGCCGTTATCAAGCGGTTTTTCTTGGGATCATTGCACAATCCAAGTCCCGGGGTAGAGCGCGGTAGCAGGCTGAAGCCTAGGTAGGTCGCGGTATGTATACGAAGATGGCGGATGCAGCAGCTGCAGGGGCAACCATGGCCGGTTGGCCCAAGGCTGCACGATTGGGTCTCGTCGGTTGGCCCCTTGACGGCAGTTCACCTCGACACCATCCGAAGTCTCAGCCTTGTACAGAATCCTGACTGTCATGGTGATTTCGATGCAGCACTGAAATCGCCATGTTTCGTCTCAATTATGACCGAACGAAAGAGCTCTGGTAGGCTGCAACCCCACCGCCAACCACAGTCGCAGTCGCAGTCCACATCAAACAACACCACTACCCCGCCAAAGGCCTCACGACCTGCTCCTAATGTGCCCAAGGACCAAACTCGCCGACGCATATTCCCTTTGAATGATATGCACAAGCACCAAAGTGGACGCACACTGGGGCCTAGCCAGCCTGCCACCAACGTCGAGGATCCAGCACCACCCAGCCAGGATGCCATTAACGAACCAGGCCAGCAGCGGACCCAGTCGCCTTCAGACACAGAAAAAGCGCGCGGAGACTCGAGCAACCTCTGGGAGAGCACAGTGAATGACGCTGTACAGCGCGAAAGCGAAGAGCTCGTGCGCCAAAACCACGAATTACGTTGCCGGGTTGCCCAGTTGGAGGACCAGCTCATGTATCCGAATAGTGCTCGACAAGACAGCGACCAGCCAAAATCACCAGGCCAAGTAGGTGATCTGAAACTCCGTTTGGATGCTGCAGAGAAGGAGTCACAGGAAAGACTCCAGCAAATTGTTTCCCTCAAATCGAGCATATCATCTCTTACACGCGTGCAGTCTCAGGTTACCGACAGCGACCTTGTGGTGTCCTTGTCCGAACTTGCAAACCGCGTCCGAGAATGGACAATCTCCAACCTCAGGCGAACCAAGCTGAACCTTGAAAACCTACCCAAAGAGACCGAAGAAACTGTTTGCAAGCTGTATCCTCAATACAGAAATGGTGTCCAGGGTGCAGACAAATTTGCCCTATATCAAGCTATCATCTCGACCTCGCTCATGCCCATTTTTGAAACACCTCTAGTCTTCGGACTGCCAACATCACTCGCGTCAATCCAGTCCTTTTCCAACGAGGTACAAGACAGCGGCCCTGCCTATAGTGAATGGAAACGCGCGACGATACAAGTGCTTGAGAGTAGTAGAGTACAACCTGACCTTGTAAGGGAAAGAGAGCAATTGCTGCACCGCATCCTTGGGGATATTTGTCATTTACTCTTTACCCTAACGTCCACTACCGTCACCTCAAGTGCACAGTTAGCATTAAGTGGGATTCTCAAGAACGCTGTAGACCTCCAACGAACACTGGCTCTCCAGAAAGCGCGTTACCAGCTGGTTTTCTTTCGCGGTGAAGGCAAGAAAATGTACCTCGACAACCGTACAATGGAATCTATCAACGATGTCGACTCTGCAATGGACGATGATACTATCATGGAGACGGATCGCACATTCCTCTTCTGCGCATTCCCTGGTCTCGTCAAGCATGGTGACGAGTGGGGTGAGCACGATGAGATCAGCAATGTTTTGCTCAAAGCAAGGGTTTGCTCGGGATTCGGGTGACCTTGATCGTAGCAGTGAAGTAAAAAGTTACTGCTACCTAAGGACGGATTGTCGCACCCTTCGTTGAGCGTGTTGAGAGGAAAGAATGAGCATGATATCTCGCTGGTCCATGCAAATTCATCGTAAAACAGAAGACAATGACTCCGTGTTGAACGGGAATTATGTGCTTCTATTCCACCATCAACTCGCCTCCTCCATAGCGACATTTCATACTTCGATATCAGCGACGTCTCCTTGCATATCAGTTCTGGGAAATGCGCTACCTCGATCAGATAGTTGGAGATACGGGTTTGACCATATCACTTATCCATGAGTAACATGAAACTCGTCAGCTTTTATGTTGAGTCCATTCCTGATGCTGAATCTCTGAAGTAAAGCTTCGGTCATGAAGTGTTGAGTGGGTGCAGGATATTGGACGTTCTGGATGGGCTGCAATGTAACGGGTGGATATCACTTCACGATGCAACTACACTGTAAGTGAGTCGCTTACATGCACTGCCATGCAAATGCCATGAGAATGACGACTTGTTTTGTAGATTCAGTATTACAAAATCCTGAGCTCCTGCAGGTCTAGGCGGTCAGAACGTGATATCGCGTGTGGATCGATCTGCCATGCCAGTGATTTCATCATGACCAATTCTTTGCATGCATCTCCCCTCACCTCACTGACAGATGTTATTTGATTCGCTCACTCCTACCACTTCGCTCGTACACATCCGTTGTTTTTTGCATCTAGATTTTCTGCAATGTCGCTCCGAGTTTGTGACGTCATGGCAAACCGCCTTGCCCGCTACATTACAATTTCGGCCCCTCGACGTCTCACTCCCTCCCTCATTCCAAATCATAATTGCATGCGAGCATTTACTCGGACTAAGCAAATAACAAATCAGCTTCAACCGCAACTGCAGCAACGCACATACTCCAATATGCCTCCCTCCAACAACCCCGAGCTTGAGATGGGCAAGGTCTTTGATGTCAAGGACAAGGTCGCCTTGGTCACCGGAGGAGGCTCTGGTATTGGGCTCATGATTACTCAGACATTGGCCGTCAACGGTGCCAAGGTATACATTGTCGGCAGGACGGAAGAGAAGCTTAAGAAGGTCGTTGAGGCACATGGACAAAACATTCCGGGACAGATCATTCCAATTGTCGGTGATGTCAGCACTAAAGAGGGTGTATCGTAAGTTTTCTCATATTGTCTGGTATTGCAATGCTGACGCTGAATACAGTAAGATCAAGAAGGAGATTGAGTCAAAGGAGAAGTGTCTATGTGTCCTAGGTAAGATTCCGTGGTTTAGTCATAAGACCCGATGCTAACAAGAGTAGTCAACAATGCTGGTATTGCGCCAGAAAAGACTGAAGTCAAGGGAAGCTCAGAAGAACTGGTCGAGAAGCTCTTCGACGGCACTACTGAGAAGGAGTGGCTCGACGTCTACCAAACCAACGTCGTTGGCCCCTTCCTTATGAGCACAGCCTTCCTACCTCTCCTAGAAAAGGCTACAGAGACACACAAGGGGTACTCCGGAACCATCATCAACATCAGTTCCATCTCTGGCCATATCCGCATTTCGCAAGGCCACTTTGCCTACAATAGCAGCAAGGGCGCCACGATCCATCTGAACAAGATGCTTGCCTCTGAGATCGCAAAGAATGGCAGTAAGTCTTACATCTCACTGAATAAACATTGGTTCTCACTGACAACTTGTAGTCAAAATTCGTATCAACTCAATCGCCCCTGGTGTTTTCCCTTCGGAGATGACCACCCAGGAGAGCCGAGACGACAACCAGAAGAGCGAAATGCCCAAGGAGCACAAGGAGGGTCTTCCCGCTCAACGTCCTGGAAAGGACCAGGACATGGCCGCTGCCGTCCTATTTGCTGTTGGTTGCCAGTACCTCAACGGCCAAACCATCACTGTGGACGGCGGCTACGCCATTCAGGTCGGCAACTAAGTCGATCGGTTTTCTGATGGCTCATGAGTTCTTCTAATCCGCTTCTTTGCAAGCTTTATGATGTATAATAGCATGGTATATTCTAAGTCGGGATTGACCAGAGTGTCACGAATTGTAATATGTAGCGAATCGGCATGTATTGACTAAAGGTCTAGGGTTCTGTCTGGGTAATGGAAGGACTCCCTATATACATACCCTGCCCTAATCATTTGTTGTAATCATAACGTTCCAGTGACGACCTCAAAGAGGATGTGATATCTCTATATGGAACCATACACGTCGTGCTCTTCAGTCGCGCCTCGCGCGTGCAGCAGCTCCCAACGCCTCTGCAGCAACGGCAGTACCCCCCGCGGCAGCTGCGACTGTGGCCGCACCATAACCCCCCATCTATTCTAATCAGCAACATGCCACATCAAAACCAAATTCATACTCACCGCTGCAGACTGCAAGATTGCAAACGTGCTTCCTGCAGACACCGCACCCATAGCCGACTGCACCCCAGCAGCAAGCGACCCTACACCCATCTATAAGCTTTTTTTGGCATCGTTTTGCATCCATTTAAAGCCTTACCAGCGACAATGCCGCTACTCGAAAACCCGACAATAGCCAACAGTGGCGTTGTGATGACTCCAGGAACGAGCAGCAGCGCCGCACTCCCGATATGACCGAGTGTACGCAGCGGGTGCTTGGCCACGTAGCGCACAATCGGAGGTGCGATGCGGTGGAACATTTCCTCAACCGTGTTCTTGACTGCGTTGATGGCGTTTTGGACGAAGGTTGATACTGCGTTGCCCATGGTGTAGTCGTACGGGTTGATGTGTTGGGAGGTGGAAGGATCACGGCGTATTTGTATCTTGAAGAAATGCTTCGTGAGGCGGCGGGGTGGGGGCTGGGTCACGTTCACTGTTCACTGTTCATGGTTGGGGTGGGTTGGCACACATGTGGGGGTTGTAGCGTGCTGTGCCGCATAGGATGGGTTGAACGGAAGGTATTGCTCTCATCCTTCTACTGGATTCTGGCTTTTTGGTTGTCACATGAGATCGAGGTCGCCTACTCGGCTGGTTGGACGCATGAAGATGCTTTGCACTGTTCTCTCGTACAGAGGGTTGTGATACGCCTCGTAGGATGGCATGAATATTGGGACTGTCCAACCGCGCGCTTGCGTGCGGCACCGCCACCACTATCACTATTGATGTTAATGCGGTCTTCCATATTGAGCATATAATCAGCTCATTCCCTTCGTATCAAGCAGTTTCCTGCTCAAAAGAGACTTCACAGCGCTGTTTTGACGGCCGTTTCGGCAACCGTGCCTCAGCCTTGTGCTAAAGGATTGTCCTAACGAGATGCAATCAGATCTATGTTCTATCCCTTTTTCAGTTATTTAACAAAAGAGAGGGGAAATGAGCCGCCGCATCCCATGTACCTGCTAGCAGATGTATTGGGAGAAAGCTGCATGATAACTTACCTGAAGTGAACGCTTATCTTTGTCAGCTTCAGCTTTACTTACGACGTAGAATTACAAAATCAGTTTTCTGGTCATCCACAGTAGTCTGAATTGGCAATTATATTCCCTGATCTTGAGTATAGATGGCAATCAAGCCTTCTTCTTCTTCTTTTTCTTCTTCTTCACACAATCGATTGCGTACTTGTCGTCATAGTGTCGTTGATGATGCTGCTGTGAGGCTGAGCAGGGAACGTACATCAAGTCGAAAGAATCGAGACCTGCCTTCAAAGATATGTATGATAGTGAGACATTCACATTGTACAGTTCGTGGCTTTGGATTCATATCATGCAAGTTATAGTATTTATTTTCTTGCATCCGCACGCTCTTGTCTATTCATCTAAGGCTTTGAAGAATCCAAACGTAGCAGCTTCTCGGATTTCTCTTACTCGAACAACACACTTAGTTGCACCTTCCCCACTTGCTCTGGCACCAGTTGGCAGCACCGCAGAAGTCCTCGCCAGTACCGCAGAAGTTTGATCCAGAGCAGCAAAGACCGGAAGCGCACTTCTTGTTGACAATAGGACCGCAAGTCTCTCCGGCCTGCGCGACACCCTTCTGAGCGGTGGGCTCAGCAGGCGCCTTTTGGTTATCGCACTTTCCGAAGCCAGCCTGGCATCCAGTACCGCAGTAGAGGTTCTGGTCCTGAAGGTCGTTCTTGGGTCCGCAGTGGCCGGCGGAGGAGCAGCAGCGGTAGAAGTAGCCGTTGGCTCCCGCACCAGGGCAGCTCACGCCACCTTGGGCGTGGCCGCAGACATCGATCTCAGGGACGCCATCGGGGAAAGTCTGTGCGGGAGAGCTGCCGTTGCACTTGGAGGAAGCACCGGAGAAGTTCTTCAGGCAAGTCTTTGCGTCGCAGTGGTCGACAGTGGTTCCGCACCAGCCGTATTGGGAGCCTGAGTAATTCGTCAGTAGATGTTCTCATGGCTTCGAACGAGCATTTCAAAACTTACAGCACTCGCCGGAAGCGCACTTTGCGTTTCCATTCTTAGGACCGCAGTTTCCGGCAAAGACACCGGAAACCAGGGAGAGAAGAGCGAAAGTGGCGAAACGCATTATGATTATGATATTAAGAGTTTTCGAGTTAAACTTTTGTTAAAGAGCAGGTAATCGTTTGTATGGCGAGAGAAATCGAGAAATAGCGAGAGTAAGCGAGTGCAAGGCAATGAGTTCGTACTGGTGACCCGATAGAGAAAGAAGAAGAAGAACTATTTGGATGCGGGAAGCTGAGCCTTTTAATGATAGACCCCTCTCGTATTTCCTGGTCCCCAAAGAGCAACGAACTGCATCCAATGACAGTGGTAGCCCTGCGGCGCCTTGTGTCTCCACAAAGGCTGCTATCGAGGATGTGCATTGGCTCGGCGCTAGAATGGTCTGCTTACTGCTTACTGGCCGTCGCGCACAAAGTCAATCCCACATACGATGCTCGTGCCTGGACGCACAGACATTAGGGCTGTGAAGATTTGGCTGTCTTTTCTGGTTCGGAAATTTCGCATGGGGCACCGGTGCAATCAGGCCAATTCGGAAGGCCGGCAAAGTGTGTGAAACGACCATGCTCGCCACTCTGGGCTTACGCGCTATGCGGGATGACGAAGGACATCATACTACTTACATACTGCGGATGACGGGACGAAGGCTGCTTACGGTGCCCGATGCATTTTTGGGCAATTGAGGGGCGGATGGATCGCTTCTGCTGCCGTCGTATGGGGGCTAAATTGAGTTTGTGCAAAAACAATTGGAGGTGAACGACGGAGAGTGATCCATTGGGGCCGCCCTGCGTACCTACAAAATTAAGCACTCGCTTAGCGCAGACGGGCTGGCTGAACCAAGAATCTACCCCTGATTCTCTTCTTGTCGGCGAGCAAAGCTTTTACGGCGGAAGCTTGACAGGCGGAGCTATTTATTAGACGAGACGGCGACGGACGGGACGGTACTGACAGAATGACACAAGGGAGGCAGCGGGCCATGTCGAGAAAGAAAGAGTGTGCTTACCTGTGAGTACACTAGACCGGGGCTAGAACTTCTAGATCATGATTCTGCTGGCGCCCCCTGCTCGGCTGTACCTGAGGCGCCGTGAGTCCGGGGGAGACAAGAATAGGCCTGTTACAACATCATGCGATGAATTTACATACAAAATGCAGGACCTATTACACCGCCCTTACTATGCTGTTCAAAACATTGAACTAAGCACGAAGTTGCGGCTGATGGTCAAATCAACCTTTCCCTCGGGTATTGACTTATGTGTCCATGACTCAGTCTGGAAAAAGAACATTTTGGGGCTGGTTCAGGCCGCCGAGCTACTGCGTGATTGAACCGGAATACGAATTTGACAGTGCAAAAGGCAGTCAATCTGCTCTGCGTAAACGCGAAATGATGAATTCCTGATTTCGCAACCCGGAGCGGTGTGCATCGTGTACGTGCAGAGTGCTTTATCGGACCTTTCCCGCCATCCGTACATGTATAGATGCGTTGTTCAATACATGCCCCTAGTGTATATGAGTAAGCAACTATCTATCAAGAGTTGATGCAGTGATTACCCCCTGGTTCCTACCCTATGGCAAATACCTGTTAATCCCTACACATTGATATTCTTTCTGCAAAGTTTGATGATTGAATTACGACTTTTCCCAGAGAATCAAAGTGCTTTCAAGCAAACAATATTGGATAGGCCACCACAGACTACTACATCCAGGACAAGGAATTAGCTTACATACTAGCTTTACACGGCGCAATATACTCAAAATCCCAGGCCCAAAACCCGGATACCTTGGTTATTCGAAGATGGGTTATCGGCACAAAGTTTGGTGGTCCACATGGCGTTAGCGTGACCAGAGAAGCCCGATTTTTTTCTCTCCATAAAAGAAAGGAGAGGGAGAAGGCCAAACGAAGCAGATGTTGAGAACCGAAAACGAAGTCAAAAAACATATATTTTCGACGCCCAGATTCTATGGTCCTTGTCTAGAGACAACATCTTGGTGTGCCAACCACCCTTCACGTGGGCCATCTGCCTCGACACCTTATCTTAGACGAAACCAAAAAGTCCAAAAAAAGATAATTTCCGACACCGGGAATCGAACCTATTGAGGAATTAGAGTGAGTTTTGGTGTTGATGATGAGAATGTTACTAACCCGGGCCTTGCCGGCGCTGTGAGGCGAACTAACTCTAGATGAGAGCGGCAAATCCTAGCCACTAGACCATATCGGATTTTGATGAAAGTTTGAAAACTTAGTCAGTACACAACTTGAGTGTCTTGACTTGATGACTGCTGGTTCCAGGACGAAGGCGAATTCGATGGAGCTGCAGGTCTATAATAAGTCGTGGGAAATCTCTTCAGCCCGGGCCCACTTGGATGAAGCGACTAAAAAGGGTCTTGTTTGATAGTATTCACGACAGACTCTCGTATAATTGCTGAAACTCAAGCGACAACATAATCGATTTCAATGAAGTGAACATGGCAATGAGTGAATTCAATTGCCAGGCGACCAAAATCTATCTCCGATACTCCCATGTGTAAATTTAGTCACCCGCATTCACATACGACCGAGACAAAAGCGTCCAGACGACCGGCACCTGTTATTTGGCATCATCTCGCGGATGGCTCGATGCTACATCGCGCTTCTTGTACCACGCAAACCAAGCAATGACCAATGTAATGACTATGACGAGTGCCGTAGTCACTTCTGTCGAGCCGATTCTGTGGGCGAGTCAGGCGCTTGACTCCGACTTTTTGTCTAGCGGAGGTATTTGTTGGTTAAGATATGACTCGAGATGGTCAATCTCGTCGGGGTCAGCGCTGTGAACGAGGCCCCTGGTTCTTGTTAGAGACAATCTTCTGCTGGATGTAGAGGACATACTTGTAAGTCCTGAAGTCAACTTTGTATCCGTGCTTCTCGAGCTCTTCAGCGCTCTTCTTTCCCCATTTATGTGCGACCACTTGGTCTGCATCGCCGTGGCCCATAAAGATGGGTGTGTTTTGGTTCGGGTTGCTGGTTGGAATCATGTCCTTGATCTTATTCTGCAAGAGCAAGTAGCAGCTTAAACCAAAAATGCCTCCCAGCTGCTCCTTGTATGTTACTCCTGACAGTATGGACATTGCGCCACCCTGTGAGAAGCCTCCAATCACTATACGGTTTGCAGGTATGCCTTTCGAAACCTCCTGATCGATAAGCGAATGGAAGTACTTCTGGGATTGGATGATGCCTTGCTCATCCTCGCTGCGACCATCCAGGTTACCGAGTTCTTTGATGTCGTACCATCCTGGCATGCTCATGCCCATGTTCTAAGTTGTGTATCAGCATTCATGCTGTGTTCGCGCCGCAGCATACGCGGAGGGTCGATGGTTGGTCACGAACCAGAGAGATTGGGATGTTTGGAGCATTCGGGAAGATGAACGAGACCTCCTCAAATTTGCTCCGTCTGCGCCAGTTCTCCGCGAGGAATATCCTACTCTTGTCAGGGTCTACAGAATCATGTTACGTTGCTGAGCGCTTCTTACCAGCCAGCCCCGCTGTCTCCGAGTCCATGAGCGACTATGACAGTAGCGGTGTGTCGCTTGAGCGCAGGGACGATTAAAGGTGCTTTATGAGCCATGATGAAGTCAACTATGTGGGGGTGTAGAGTAACGTCTCGACAGCAGACGGAACGTGGGGTAGCTGGAAGCAGTCAGAACTCGGGACCATGTGGGCCTCGGCGTGTCTCCCTGCACGCTAAAGCAGGAACAAGGGTCCGAGCTCCAATCATCATCATCGACGTCATGACCTATCCAGTACTATTCAGTGGCGATTTAATTTACTATAATTCAGTCTCCTTTTTTATTTGAAAAGGCGTAATAAGGTACCTCCTAGTTCTTCCTATTCTGGCATCTACCACGGTTGTCTCTATTATTGCGTTCAAAATATCAGTCAGACTTCTCCTGGCATCACGGCCAGGTGCCTTCAGGGGCGCATCCTATTTCTCACAATCAACAAGCTCATCCCATATGGTGCGAGCTACAAGAAGCTCCGCCGCAAAAGGCAGAGCTTCGCAAATACTACCAGTCACTGGTAAAGATTCAGTACAGCTTTCCAGTCCGCCCACGACACCAGAAGTACCCAATCCCCGAAAGAGGAAAGCTATCAAGGCGGAAGTCTCACCAGAAACCAAGACCAAGGGTGCACCTGCTACACCCAAAAGCGCCAAACGCACCAAGAAATCTGTAGTAAAACAAGAGGACATCAACGAACTACCGCATAACCTTGGTGCTATTCCAGATCTTCCCGTCAAGCAAGATGATGATGATGATGTCATCAAAAAAGACTCAGCAAAAAAGACTAAAAAAGCAACTAAGAAACTGAATACGAAGAAAGAGGACGTTGGCGATATTGTTGATAAAGCAACCACCACAACTCCAAACAAGAAGGGCAAGGGCAAGGGCAAGGGCAAGACTGGTGGTTATGGTCTTACACCTGGTCAAACACCGTATCCGAACTACCCACACCCCACTGCAGAAGAATGTGAAGAAGTCACACGTCTCTTGTCGAAAGTGCACGGCAAGGTAGAAGCTCCAAAGACCATTCCCACTCCGTCGCTGGATGTCTCAGGGTGTGGAGAAGTACCCTCAGTCCTTGACGCCCTCATCCGAACACGTCTTTCTGCTGCAACCTCTGGAACAAACTCATCTCGCGCTTTTGCGGGCCTTGTTGCCAAATTTGGAATTTTGAAAGAAGGCATTGGCAAAGGCAGCGTAGACTGGAATAAAGTGCGCCAAGCAGATCAGAAAGAGATATTCGAAGCAATCAAGAGTGGTGGACTAGCCGATGTCAAAAGCAAAGATATCAAGAAGATTCTGGAAATGGTCTGGGAAGAAAACCAGGCGCGACGGAAAGAGCTTCAGTCTTTGTCTGACAAAGCGCCAGGTTCCGCCAATGAGGCAGAAGAAGAGAAGAACGCAGAGGTCGAAAAGGCAAGCCAGGATGTCATCTCTCTGGACCATCTGCATCTGCTCTCAAACGACGATGCCTTCAACGCCCTCACCAAATACCCGGGCATTGGGCCAAAGACAGCATCATGTGTACTTCTCTTCTGCCTTCAACGACCTTCATTTGCTGTTGATACGCACGTCTTCCGACTCTGCAAGTGGCTCGGTTGGGTACCCCCGCCAGGTGATTCCAGGGGTCTTGCTCCAGGCGCGAAAGGCACTTTCATCGGTCCAACACGCAATTCGACGTACGCTCACTGCGAAGTCAGAGTACCAGACCATCTGAAGTACCCATTACACCAGCTACTTATAAAGCATGGAAAGACGTGCCCAAGATGTCGAGCAATCACGGGGGAGAGTAGCGAAGGGTGGGAAAAGGGCTGTCCAATCGAACATCTAGTCCAGAGGACAGGTGGCCGCAAAGATGCCGGCACAAGCCCAGTCAAGGGAGGAAGCGCAAAAAATTCAAAGAGAAAGAAGAGGGTGGCTGAGGAATACGAGAGTGATGCTCAGAGCAGTGGTGTGAGCGACGCTGAGAGTGTTGAACTAAGTGACGTGGTGAGTGATGCAGAAGTAGAGCAATCAGAAGAAGAGCAGTCAGAGGGTGAATATTGATGTTCATATGTACATTGAATTTTGAAAGCGAGCATCTACTTTATATATACAGATTTCCTATGTAGTGTCTTCCCTCGCGTATGTCGATTCTGTCCAAGTCGACAAGTCATGTTGTGCAACAGTTGAGTATGTCTTGTTGTCCCTGTTCAGTTGAAGAACTGTTGCCTTAAGTGAACTGGCTGAAGAAGGCCCAGACTTCCTTGGGTGTGAAGCTCTGAGCGCCGACATCGTTTCCTGCATCACCAGGAAGCGCGACGTGGTCTCCATCGAAGGAAGTCCATTGGGTTGGGTACTTGCATCCATCGTACACAGTCTTGACGCGCTGGCGGCTGTTGGGTGATGGGTCGGCTGCGTTCTTGGACTGGCATCCATTCAGCTGGACAAAGCGGTCACGGATCTGTTTTCCGGAAGCGATGGGCAGAACGCTGTCCTTGACACCGTGTTGACCATAGAAAGCAATGGGGGTGTTGCCGCCGGCACAGCCAGAGAGAGTGGCACCAGACAAGACAGCAATACCACGGAAGTCAGCCGCCTTGCTGCAAGCCAGGCTGAAAGACATGGCACCACCGTAGGAGAAACCGAGGGAGAAACGGAGCTTCTCGTTGACACAGAACTCGTCGTCAATCTGCTTCCTGACTGCGTCAAGGAAAGCAATGTCCTCTCCGTTCTGGTTTCCCCATCCCCTGTTGAGACCGTCTGGGGCCACAAAAATGGTGCTCTCACCGGCAAGAGCAGCGAGGCCGTAGTAGGGAGCAGCTCCACTAGCGACCGCGTTCATGTCACCGTTGAGCCAGTGCAGGCCAAAGATGAAGCGGTATTCACGCTTGTTGTCATAGTTTTGAGGCACACGCAGAGTGTAGCGGCGCTGCTTGTTGTTGACTGTGATGGTTTGAACACCACTGTTCAGTCTTGGGGTTTTTCCACAGCCGGCTGTCGCAGCGGACACAGAGTCAAGAAGTGAAAGGAAGAGAAGGGCACCAAGTGCGAAGAGAGAAGCTGGGCGAAGCATGATGAAGGGCTTTTTGTTTGTTTCCGAGTTTCTTGGTGGTGTTTCTACAACCGTTGAACCTCAACGGCCTTTAAGTATCTTTTGAAATCCCCACATTTCTCCAGACTGAAACATTTCACACCACTGTTTCTAGAGAGTAGATCACTATGGAACAGGAGGGTTGCTACTATCGGGATTTATGCTCAGTCTCCATACCAAGACTTTTTGACACTGAAATAAAGACCGACGTTAGTCAAGATACGAGCTCCGAAACCAATTGGAAAGCTCAGAGGATAGAGAATCTCGAGTCAGAGGGTCCCATAGCACTTCGAGTAAATGATGCCAAGAGCCTTGGACGGACGGCAGTTCTTCGGGGTGCCTCCAGAAGTCTTGTTTTTATGTTAGTCTCCACGTTTATGCAGGCAATGTGCTCCTCACGGAAGAATATAGTGGAGAAGCCATGCAAGCCATTTACTCACCCCCCGCATTCCTGCTCAACTGCCGCTTCCGGGTTGGACTTCCAAGTTTTTGATGTGAACATGGGCGGTGTCGATCACCTTATGTGGCTGAAACACGCCCTCTAGCCACATACTAGCCGCCGAAAGCCACGTGACTCGGGAATATCAAATGTTTCCCCGCTTCAAAGCGGAAAGATTGCCCGTCTTGTCGGCCCATTTACGTCGCGTCTCTGCATCACTTGGCAGATGTTTCCGTTTTTGGGTATGCGCAAAACAGCGAGGACAGAAACAGAAAGGCCGGTGGCTGATTACCAAACGAAACAGCAGGCATCACTCTTTGCCAGCTGTTTCCCTTAAATTTCCCCGCCAATGCCAGCGACCCAATACAAAAAATGCGTTCCATACCGGCAAATTCAAGTCTTGGGGTTTCGCCATGCTCATGGTCAACGTCCAAGGCGTGAGCGATGGACAGAGACCCGCTGAGCCATGAGCAAAGTCTTCTAGGATTACGAAGTCAACATTTAACACTCGATTACTACAATGCACGACTGTAAGTTTACTCGGTTTATTTACGTCTGTTTCACCGCCAACCTGGTTGTGCTTTCCTCGGTTCTCAGTACGGGACTCTCGGTGTGCCAAACGAGCCGGTTAAAAGCTGCCTGTATGATATCAGCCAAAACTATAGCAAGAGGGCAGCTATAGTCACTGTAAGAGCCAGCGAGTATTCCATATGATATTCGGAATTTTCACTCTTTACAGTGGAATGTATCCGTCAACTGTGGAGGCTAGACAGTACGCGATGTAGGACACGGGTAAGCAGCTGCATTCTTACACAGAAAAGTGATTGGGGACGTTCTGATCCTTCTGATCCAACTTTATCGGTGCACCGACAGTTGAGTAAATCTTATCGGTTATATCTACCGATCCTCCCATAGTGAGATGCGGGATAGTAACATTCTAAGCCCGGCAGGTTCAGGCAAGAGAACGATTCCCCCTTCACCAGCATAAGCATGCAGTTCACGTTTGCCATATTCTTTTTTAAAGTTTGATGGCTGTATGTAGATGGCAGACTCCGCATGCTTCATCCGCCGGTTAATAGGTCTCATGCGTAGTCAAGCTGCATGTGCGATATTATTTGTTGCTTTTCTGGGACCAACTACCGGGTATATCACCACCTCACTCATACTCGCTTATATTGCACAGAAGTAAGCATTAGAAGGATCCATTATGAATGCATGCTAACTGACCAAGGACATACTAAGAGTCAAAGTAGACTAACCATATTCGTGCGAAACGCTTACACTAAGGTACAAGAATAACGAGACTTGAATCGATACATGTTCTCAATGCGACACCAATATTTCAGACAGCAAGATGCCAAATACATAAGCACATCACTGTGATGGACTCGGGCCGATGTGAGATCATGTAAGTCCTGTTGAGTAAGCCCTAGATCATCACAACACTCTATGCAAACGTTATCCCCCAGTAGCTAGGTAATTAGACCATTCTGCCTGGCCAAACTCCCAGTAAGACCTCATTAAGATCCCGTTGAATGCATGTATTGGGAGATTATATTCTCTTGGTGTAAAAAAAGGATGCGAGGAAATGGATAGTATAAAAACTGTAGTCATTGCCGGTTACACATATCTTGATTTATCTCTATCAGCTACTGCCTGAACTTCCAAAGTAAAGGACACTATCACAGACATGAAGCTCTACACGGGTATTCTGGCCATGGCCGCTATTTTCACTAACACTGTTATTGCTTTCGATCCTTCGGTTTTCAACATCAGCGATCCTAAGCCGTGGGGCTTCTTCGTGAACAATACCATCTATCAGCCAGCTAGCAATGAGACTATCGCATATCCCCGCTATACCGAATTAGACGATGGAACTATCCTTACGACTGGGTCATTTCAGGGTCACACACCTTCTTACCTTCCCATCTTTGAGTCAAAGGATGGCGGCGCGACGTGGAAGCATATTTCCAATGTGTATGGTATCAATGGCTCGAGCATAGGTGTACAGCCTGCCTTGGCGGTATTAACGGAGGCCATGGGAGACTACGCGGCTGGCACTGTCTTGGCCTCCAGTAATACTTTGGGTGCAAACTTCACCAGAATCAGCCTATACGCTAGTAGAGATACGGCAAGAACATGGGAGTTCGTGAGCAACATTGCCGAGAGTCAAAAGCCCGGCTCACAAAGGTCAATTTTCGAGCCATATCTTCTGTAAGTTTTGCTCATCTCATGTCTTAGTAAGTTGGAAGCTGACAATGACCCAAGACAATACAACGGCCAGCTAGTAGCCTACTACTCGGATGAGCGTGACCCCGAACACTCACAAAAGCTTTCTCATCAAGTATCTTCTGATATGAAGACGTGGGGCCCTGTTGTCGACGACGTAGCCTATGACCAGCCCACTTACCGTCCTGGTATGACAGTCATAGCCTATATCCCACCCATCCAGAAGTGGATCCTTGTACACGAACAGGGCTTTGGAAGGACGACCTTTGGTGTCAGTTACCCCGTCTACTACGTCCTGGCCGACTCTCCTCTAGAATTTGGCGAGAATGTTGGCCAGCCTCTTGTCATTGATGGTCGCGCGCCCGGATCCAGTCCGTATGTGGTCTGGAGCCCTATCGGAGGCCCCAATGGCACCATTGTGGTCTCTGATGCGTCAAACCGCCAGGTGTTCACCAATACGCAAGGTGGCGCTGTGGACAAATGGGAGAAGCATGCTACGCCCGCTGGATCTGCGTATGCGCGTTCTATCCAGATTCTGAAAGATAGACCGGAGCACTTGGTGATTTATGGTGGAGAATCATGGACTGGTATGCTCAACGGAGGCAAACGTCCGATGGTGGTGACTGTAGTCAATCTGACCGAGGTGTTGAGCGCACCTGCGTCGTAGATATTGGAGAGGCGATGCGGGTGGATGACAAGAGCGACGAACCTGGCCTATTCACTTAGATAATATGTTAGGAATACACAGAATGCTATTTAGCGTTTGCCTTGTGGCCTTGTTTTGCATGGGATTGTGATGATACGGGAGAGGGAATGCGACTTGGACGCATGTGAAGAGGCGCCCACGCTACTCGGCCTTTTCCCCACCAAACGCGCTTGTCAACACTACGTCGACGCGTCTCCATTCCCATACAACGTCATCATGGTAAACCGCGGAAAAGTCCTCTGACTTGTGCACATACTGACTCGGCATAGGCGCCTACGCGCTCTAGCAATAAAGAAGTCAAGAAGAAAGGGAGGGGCAGACCACCAGGAAGTCGCAATTCCGCCGTCGGCTCGAAGCCAGCGCCAAAGCCCGGCACAGCAAAGAAGAGGAAACCTTCAGCCAAACAGCAGCCACAAGAAGCCGAAGATGAGCTGTCCCTAATCGAACCGGCTCGATCAAACCGGCCAAAACCTCGCAAGCGCAAAGCTGACGACACTGCTGCCGCTGCCACCGCCGAGCCAGAAGCCCAGTCGCGCGAGGAATATCTACGGCTCGAGGCTAAATCAAGGAGGATCACCCGCGACCAAGTCGACAAATGGCCAGAAATATCACCCCAGGTCTTGGAGCAGGTCCTCACTGTGGTGCGCAATGCGAAGAAGGACACGGCTGAGACACAGCGGGACGAGCGGAAGGTCATGGCTGCATACAATACGCTTAACCCACTTGTACGAAGATTGGCACGCCAACTCGCCGAGTCGCGGATTCCCCCCCAAGCCAAAGACATACACTTCAACATCGATAAGCTGACGGAGCGCAATGCTCAGGTCTCGCGCGAGGTCACTACTGCGCGACACTCGAAGCAGCTGCTCAGTGAGCAGATCAAGATCGCCGAGCATTTGCTTAGCAAGGACGAAGAATACCTGGAGTTGATGAAGAAGAATGCAAAGACGTGGAGGGCTGAGTGGAAACATCAGCGGAAGCATGGACGTGTACGTGGAAGTCTCCTGCTGTTTGGACGAAAGGATAGCTGACTTGCAGTAGCTCCACCCCTTGCTCCAAACCGACAACGAGGTCGCCATTGATGGCGACGGCCCTGAGGATATTGGCTTGAAACCACAAAGCTCAGTAGATCTTTCGTCCCTTGACTCGCCCGACTCTGACCTCGGCCCTGTGCTTGAGCAATTGAAGCGCAGTCTAAAGAACATGCAGAACAACCATACCCAAGTAGAGGGCCTCGATACGGCAATAGACAACGCACAAGCTGCGCTAGACGATGTCCTATTTCGGCATGCCAATGCTGCACAGTATGCCAACTTGTGAAATATTGAGATGCGGATGCGGGACAAGGGTTCTTTTTCCTTATCAAGGTAATGCAAACATAGGCGCATAATGCAGCCTTAGGGAAACGAGTAGTGTTTGTAGGGGCTGGCGTTTATCCAATACTTCAGGGCGGGTTTTAGCATTGCTACTACTACTATATTTCGAGCACTATGTAATATACGAAGACGGCCCGTAAGAGGCTGTGGCAGGTTGGGCGTGGGGCTCAACGAAACTGCAAGACTCGGCATCCACCCCCATGTCTCCCAGTTTTGGAGCTGAGGGGGATCCGACAGAGTGGTCATCGGAAAACGTGCATGGGGGACTCTGGTAACTTCAATACTCTCATGTAGTGTAGCAACAAGGTGCCAAAGGCGATTGGCTCCAGCTGGCTCCCATATCGCCGCAGAACCACACCTGCAGCCATCGTGCCTCGTGCCAAACTCGTGCCAAACACAACAGATGAAGCGCTGTAGCGAGTAACGCGTGAGCTGGATGTTCTATCTTTCTCTCTTTCTTTCTTTTTTTTTAAAAAAAAAGCCATAGGTGGGCGGCGCAGCTGTCAAACGGTCGGCTAACAGGGCGGGCGGCGCAGCTCCCCCGCCGGTTGCGTAGCAGTGGTGTTATTCCGGAATATTCCCTCGCTTCGACAAAGCACGCGACCAGACATTCACTTGACCCTCGTGTCTTCAAAACTATACACCTCCGCCACGCGTTTTCCGCCACGACAAACTCGTCCGTGCAACAAAGGTCGCGGCTTCTGGCGCTTGTAGACCTTCGCTGCTTCATGCGATGCTGCAGTGCGTGACGAGATCCCTGTAGTGACACCAATCAAGCCCGCGCATCTCCAAGAAAAGCATCCGGCTTCGACCCACCCACTTACCGCACTGGATGACGGAAGCTGCACGACGATCCAATGGATCTTCTCCAGTCGTCATGACGGAACACGGTGAGGCTGACAAGGCCAATGTTGCTTCCGAACCAAATGCGCCAAAGAGCGCCTCTCCTTCAAAGACCAAGACCAATGCGACCGGCTCCGAGGCGCCTGCAAAGACCTCGAAAAAGCGAAGAAAGGTCAATCATGGTAGGCCTGCAATGCTGTGCATCTCTACCCTTCTCCACAGCCCTGCTGACTTTTGACGCTCCAATGTAGCATGCATCTACTGCAGACGTTCGGTAAGCCATAGCCAGTACACCAGCATTTGACACATGGCACTTTGATGCGTGTACGACAATTATTACTGCTTGCTGACCACTTTCTAATCAGCACATGACCTGTGATCTCGTGAGTATACTCATCACCATCTTATCCACAGTTTTGTAGGCAAGGTGGAACTTATGTGAACATAGGAACGACCATGCACACGCTGTGTCAAGCGGAACATTGGCCATCTGTGCCGTGATGAGCCTCGGGAAGGTGTCAAGAAGGCCAAGTCCGAGCCAGACAATGGCGAAGGACAGAGCCAGCCTCCTCAGATCGAACCTGCCACGTCTGAAGCAGCACCAGCCGCCGCTCTCCAGCAGCCTACTGCTCCAGATGCCGGACTCAACCTGGCACCGCATCAACTGCCCCCCAATGGAGATGCAAGCACGGCATCAGGTACTCAACCCGACCCCGTACCCGCGCCACAGCCGCCTGCTTTGACGGCCAGCAATCAGTCCTGTAAGTCACACTTCTTTCAGCCCCAAGCTGTCATCGTCACTGACAGCCTTAAAGTTGGGAACTATGATGATATGCTTTCATCGTCCCAGAACAACTTTCAGGACATGCACTTCCACCCTTCATATATGTTCAATACCTCAGAAGTGAGCAACGAGTATAACCTGCTCAACGACTTTCTCAACAACAGCCTCATGGACGACGGTGCTTTCTACGGAGGCAATGACTTTCATTCTCTTTTCTCTGACGCTTCCCTCATGAACCCAATGGGTTCTCTAAACAGCAACTCTGCTTTCAATCCTAATGGATCGAGACAGCAACAGCTGCTTCCACCACCTGCGCAGAATGCTGCTGCTAATACAGCACAGCGATCTGCAGGTGGGGTGCCTATTGACAAAGCAAGAGAAAGGTACCTTATAACAGCTGCTGACCCGGCCGGATCGGATAGCCCGGAAGAGCGTATGAATAAACTACTCAAGGCAAAAGTAGATGCAGGACTATTGAAGCCCTTCAACTATGTCAAGGGTTATGCAAGACTGAACCAGTACATGGAACAGAATCTGCAGCAAATATCCCGAGTCAGAGTATTGCGCCAACTGGATCGCTTCCGCCCAAAGTTTCGAGAACGAATGCAGAGTCTGACCGACGTAGATTTGGTGCGTATCGAAATGTGGTTCGACAAGAGCTTGATGGAGTACGACCGTGTGTTTGCGAGCATGGCTATTCCAGCTTGTTGTTGGCGAAGAACAGGCGAGATTTACCGAGGTAATAAGGAAATGGCGCGCCTCATTCACGTACCAATGTCAAAGCTACGAGACGTAGGTTCCTTATTCATCTCCACTGAGCCAATAGGTACTGACAGATCAAGGGTAATATCGCTCTACATGAGATCATTGCTGAGCCATCATTGGTATCATACTGGGAAAAGTTTGGTGCAATCGCATTCGACCACACCCAGAAGGCTATTCTGACGAGCTGCTCGTTGAAAAACCCTGATCCAAATTCAAAGGATCCCGAAATACGTTGCTGTTTCTCTTTCACTGTTAAGCGAGATGCGTGGAATATGTGAGTAGATATGCCCTTTCTGCAAAATCTTATGCTGACAATCATCAGACCGGCGCTGATTGTCGGCAACTTTCTTCCCATAACTGAGGCTACCTCTGGCCCGTTACCTGCGTCATAGTACTTTGATATGATTTCTGTATACAAAACTGTACGATGGAGCTGCTGAGTTGTGAAGGTTGTGCGCATATAATGTGATATCAAACACACGTTTCGTGGGTCAATTAAGTGGAGGGTTACGTGTATACGTGGTGGTGTGATTGCAGGTGCGAAAGATATCCATATCTGGCTTTATTATTGCTTTTAGGCTCCTTGTATTCTAGTTCTTTCTGATGTCTAAAACAAAGCTTGCGTTGTGGGTGTGAACCGTACCTTCCTCATTACTGCGCAGCTAGCTTCCAAATGGGAGTCACATCCTGCCAACCTTACTACCTTTCCCATCATCCTCTTTCATCACACCACATGTATTACTGAACGTATGTAGCCATGCCGTCGTTTCAATCTGTAGCAAAAGCAGAGCGCGAAAAGAAGCTCAAAGCAGTCCTCAGTGAGTATGATTTTTGAGAAGTGACCAAATACAACACTCACCGATGCATAGCCTTCGCCACAACGCTCATCCAGAGGGTCGAAGGCGGTCAAGATACGACACTTGCAGATGATCTGCGGGCTAATATTCGTACCCTTCCTCTCCAAGCCTCCTCTACAGTCCTCGCGAAGCAAGAGGAGCTTGACCGGCTCGGCACCGAGCTATGGAATTTAGCTATAAAACTACGACGCGACGAAGCAGATGTCATAATCCAATCCAGTGACATTACCGCTAACCAAAAACGTACTCTGTCTCTCCTGCGCGCCTTCTCGTTCTTGCTTCTCGACTCCGCTGGTGGTCACGATACGAAACGCCGCCAGCGCAAGAACTGCATCCGTCTTATGAAGGTCGCGCTAAAAGCAGCTAGGGTATGTATCCAAGGTGACGAGCTGAATATAGCGACCAAAGTGCTTGAGCGTGCTGCGGACTATCAAGATGTCCTGAGTCAAGAAGGTGAAGACAAGCGTAAAGAGGAGAAAGAGCTTGCAGATGATCTGAGAGCTCAATACCTTGCAGTTCGAACGACCTTGGTAAGTCTTATTGGCTGTGTTCAAAGTAAACTCGTTTGCAATTACTTGGTGTGGCTTACCACATTACAGGCATGGCGTCAGGATCGCATGGACACCGCAGAGCATTTGTTCATCAAATGCAAGCAGCTCATGACGACACTCGCACCCGCAACAGCCGAAATCCTCGCAGACCTACTTTACGAAATCGGGAAAGGTGCTTTAGCGAAGCGTGATTACAATTTGGCGTCTCGGTGGCTGGAACGAGCACACGATGTCTTTGACGGACAAGACCTGGAGATGCTTAGTCCGGAAGTAGGGGAACTGAGACTTAGCATCATGCAGGCCATCGGTACATTCTAGTACGACTTTTGTGAGATTCCAGCTGATACATACGCCAGTCCAAGCATACGTGAAGATCAAGACGCCCGAGACGCAAGACAAATCGTGGCAGATGGTGAGGCTAATGGAGACAGTAAGAGCTATCTATCCCCTGGTTAGAGATAGTGCTAACACGTTCTTAGGACTTTGGAGACAAGATGGGAGTCTTGCTACTAAAACTTGAGCTACTTTCCGAAACTGAAAAGATCGATACTATCGAGTTCTACAATGGTGAGGCCCTGTATTTTTCTACAATCTAATTACTAACAACGACAGTTCTTCTACGCATGATTCGTACAATTGTCCTTAGTGAAACAAACTTCAAGACGTGTGTGACCTGAACGATGCTTGGTTAATTTGCATACCCACGGATTTAGCTGATTCTGAGTAGGCTCATGCATCACATACACAAACTGAATGAGCACGAGTGCGCACTTGTTCTGATATGTGTGTTCAACCACTGACTTCATGAAGCAATGCTACAGCTATCAAGGCGCTCGATGACTTGATAGATATACGCCTGTTTCGGGAAGAGAATCAACAATGGATTGAGAAAGCTATCATTACACGGATCTGGATTAGTACCACTAGAAACTCTTCAGAGAACATGCTTGAACAACTGCAGGATCGCTTCGACACCGTCTCGCAAAATTTGCCAACTCCAATCTCTGCGCCTGCTACACATGCTGCACAAACGGTAGGCTCTACGTGCCCCCGGCTACTGGAATATATCATTGATATGAACATGCAGTTGCTATGGAAGTGTGTAGAATTAGCAGCAAGTCAAGAGAAGCACAAAATGGCAGAAGCATGGTGCCATATGTGCCTTCATCCTATATTCGACAAGGCTGGGGTACAGAATCAAGCCAAAGTGTCAAGGTACTACATATCATTTTTGTTACTGACTGAGATATTTACAAAGTGCAGGAAGATTATCCAGTGCGCCCTCGCTCGCCGGGACTACGAGGTGGCTAGAAGTGCATATGCTCGGATGACTGAAACTGGTAGAGATGAACCAGTGACGCGGTATCTGATGTACAAGGTATCATTGCAAAGTGGAGATACAGATTATGGTAAGCATGTCATCAGTAGTGGTCACTTCTCTTACTGATGATGCAGCTACTGAATGCTTGGATCACATCTGTCGAAGTTCTGCTAGGGACGCGACACTTCTTTATGCTTGTGTGATGGAAGCTCAGAGAGCAGGAAATAAGAGGCAAGCGATCAACGCCCTACGAAGGGTTCTCGACAAGTATGAGCATGGTGCTACAACAGGCATACATTTACCTGCACTTCTGCGGTCAGTCTTCTACTCTGAAAAGGCTTGCAGCTTCTTACATCAGTAGATCAACTACGCGTATGCTGCAATCTGAACTCATCAACGATGGTAAAATCGACACTACCATTCTCGACCAGCTGTGCAAGTCGTTTGAAGCAGGTATGTGAGGACACTTGATGCGAAGACTCCCATTTAACATTAGCAAGCTCGTGATCAGGCCAAGGCATCTCGAACTAGGCCAAGTACTCTTGCCAAGGAGCTGTTCACGAATTTGGAGTTCGAATGGTTCTCTAAGAACTCTTACAATCTATCACTAAAACATTGTGCTGAAATGCCCCCAGCATACCTCATCAGGCTCCTCGATTGCTGTATGGAGGTCAGTACAGTCTATCATCGTGTGGAAAAAAGTTATTAACGATCCTCAGTTCATCAAACTACTCAAAGAAAAAGACGACTCAAACCCGAGTAGCGATCTTAGTCTTCGGCTGCTCTTCTGTGAGTTTCTTGCTGCTTGTACTTGGATTACTTTGGCGCGTGCGGAGGATAATGTTGAGCAAAATGTGAGTTCTCCTCGCTGTACGTTTGAAGATTAGATCAACAGTAACAACTTGGATAGGCCCAACAGTACTTGGAGGTTCGCAAGCATAGTCAGAATTTCCGACGCGCCGTACCAGAAACCATGAATGGGCTCGGTGAGTCTGCTAAAGCCGACATAATCTCAAAACACTTCCAGGTTGTCAAGTTGGAACTTGAAGCTGCACTCAAGCTTCGGAAATGGGATGAGCTTGATGAGCTTTTTGATCAGTGCTGGGTATACAAGAACCCAGATCATTACGAAACGTTGGCCGACCTTACCTTGGTCATCCACCATTGTATCGTACAAGCAGAACTAGACGTCAAGTACCAGAAAAGTGAGACGCCTACAGATAACACCGATAGAATCAGACTGATAAAACTCACAGAAGTATTATCTGTTCTCCAGAAGATAGTCAATCTAGTTAGCCGGCAACCAGGCAGCGATATGCCAAGATTATCTCGATGGCTTCGATGCCTATTCAGCCTCTCACTTCCGTTTGACGACGAATCTAGTCTTAGATACATCGACCAAGTCACACATATCGCGGCAACAAAGCAGAGCGTGAGTCTCCAGTTTCCTAGTCCTGTCACTATATACTTCCGTGCCAGTTACGATACTACTCTATCACTACCGGTCTTAGGTTAGGCGTGACACGAGCACTTTTAGATCATGCAGAGATGAAGACACCGTAGACTTGGCTGACAAGATGATCAAGGAAACCGAGTGCTATCCCAAAACGGAATTAGAATGGCTAGCGACCACCGCATTCAATCGCGCAATCGACTACTATGTACAGGAGAACGATGAAAAGGCCAAGAAGTGGGCGGAAAAGGCATTCGTGGTTGCACAGTGGATTGATGATGCGGGGGCAACGCGAGATTTCCTCATGAAAAGGTTTTCGATTCTGAAGTTCAGTGAAGAGTGAACCGTACAAGTGGGTGATGGCTGACGTTATGGCTAACCGGGTCTCCCACAGCGGACAGGATGGTGCATTGAGTTTTAGCAGCATAGCGTGCCTGGCATAAGTGGCTAAGCATGTGTTTCCTCCACTCATCTCTGCCCGTTCAGGATACATACGTAAGGATCTAAGGCGTACGCCCCACAGATTACGCCACAAAGTGGGCCTTAATGCCGAGTAACCCGCACCAACCACGCGTGCAAGCTATCGATGTCCCATTGATTTTGGCCTGAAGCACACAACATCTATGGTATTGGAGCAGTAGCAATGGCTCAGGAGCCTGATCTAAGAATAGGGTTAGGTGGCGAATCGCCCAGGCTGGAGCATGCTCATCGATTGACAGCAAGCATGCCTGGTAGCGCTGAGACTGTTGCTACACACGCGACACATGCCCACTTTTGGATGTAGGATCGTGCTTGTGGCCCCTGTTCGTCCGGGGTCGATATCCACAGCAAGACTCGTTCTGCACCGACGCGTCATGCTGCTTGCTCGCTGGCTGCAATGGCGTTGCTTATTACCGCTTACAGCAGCCTATCTCTCGACAAAACATTGATTTCGACCTGGATCTCCTTAGACACCTCGCATCGTCAATACCCTACTGCCTCGATCTTTCATCTACTTCGAGGGGTTGATCGACGACACGATGCGGTTCGTGTCGAGGCTGCACGTATGTGCTGCTCTTGCTATTTTCACGATTTTGTACATCACCTGGATGGACTCAGCCGGCTTTGAGGAAACTGTACATACCGTCTGGCGTGGAAGTGCGCATCGCATTGTGGTATTTGGTAACGATTGGTCCGACACGGGCAGTTACCGTGTCTCGTCGCCAGCGTTATCTTCTATCGTTGCTCGCGACGCGGATCGAGGCGACTTGTGGGTAGAGACATTATGCAAGGAGGTAAGTGCCACATGTTCTGAAGAAGTCGTGGCCTGACACACACTGTAGCTCGAATGTGATACTATTGACAACTTCGCACATTCAGTGCCAATCGCGGCTGATGGGGCACAGACTGATGCTTTGCTTGACGCTGCAGTCTACGAGGATGCCATGGGCTCCGAAAGCAATGACAGCGCTGTCATGTCATTTGACTTCAAGGCACAAGTGGAGCAGTTTGTCACATACAACAAAGGAAGACGACTCATCCCGCAACGCCTACGTAAAGAGGATGAGTGGACATTCTTCGCAGTCTATTTTGGCCTCTGGGACCTTCTAGAGTACTCGACGCTGGAGAAGAGTGTTGCCATGTACGCAATTGATAAAAGCATCACATCATTGTTTCGCCAACTTGATGTGTTGGCTGCAGATGCCCCTTTCCCACCCAAGGTCATCATCCCGAAGATGATTGACGTTAGCTTCCTACCTCGGTTCCAGATGAAGAAGAAAGCCATGCACGAGGCCCAATTCGCGGAGACTCAGCACCGACTCATCTTCTTGTGGTCATATTGGAATCTGGTTTTGCATCGGACTGCGAACAATTGGAAGAACGGTATAGTGTACATGCCAGAGGCGAACGAAGCAATCATGCAAGAAGTCCGGGCCAAGCAACTTCACTCGAAACAACTCTCGGATGCGTTTGGTGTTGGCAAACAGGCGCCTCTTTTTGAACACATTGAGCAACCATGTCTAGCTTCGCAGCGGGGCAGTGCGGGCAGTCTGCAAGCATCCGACGTTCAGAAATGCTCCACGCCAGCTGAACATCTCTTTTGGTACGCCAATCACGACACAAACGCATTGTCTCGAGCTGACCAGATAAAAGGGATGACGTTCAACTCAGCGGTCCGGCCCACGCGCTAATAGGGAACCAAGCCGTCAGCCTCATCCGCGGAAACCAATCTGTGGGCCGGGAGCAACAGACGCAGGGCTCTGACAATAAGGAGAAACCTGAGAAACAAGAGGCCGAGCATTTCACACTCAAATTTCCTCCCGGGTACTAGCAAGCTGTATTAGAGACACTTTTTTTTTAAAAACTTGGCCAAGCCCCTACAGTGGTGCTTGATGCTCAGCGACGCTCCACAAATTGTACCCCGCTTGTAGCATAGTGTGTTGGCTCTATATGCAGCATCTCTATGCATCTCCCGAGACCGCGCCACTTGGTAATTACCGTCAAAGAGCGGGTTGCATTGTTATCATCCCTTGCATGGCGGCTGCAGGCGTGCCGCGATGTCTCGCGAATTGGTGGACAGGGCCTTGCCCACTTTTGGACATTGGAGAACAAAGAAACTCCTAATAGAGGTCAACTGCATTTGACTGGAACAATAATCTTACTGGATCGGAAAGGCTATGGGTCCGCATGTCGCATAGTGCATTTAAAGAAACCTGGAATATTGCGTAGTCGATCCAATTCGTTGCCTCGTACTCATTGAAAAGCGGAACAATGAATCGTGGCTTTCCTTGAGGAAGCTCATTAGCGTAGCTATCTTGTTGTTAATACCCAAAAATGCTAGCAAGTCTAGTGCCGCCACCGATTGTTTGGACTTCACCTCCTCCGACTTCACCTTCACTTTCTGTCGCGACTTTCTTCAATATTCCAAGGCGCTACGTGAGATCCACAATGCAGACAGAACATATTTCTCCACAGTCCCCTATAGATGTCGCAAAACATCCACGGAGTTTGCGTAAGAGTAGTCGCATCCAAGAGACACGCTCTAATTCGATGCCTGATCTTACCACCGAGCACAACTGCGAGGACGATCCCTCGCCAACTGGCACATCTTCTCCTCGAAATACAAGGAAAAGGCTTATTTCACTTGTAGAAGCATCTGAAAGTGAGGAATCTGGCAGCCCGACAGATGAGAAGCTACCTCCAAGTGCCACATCAACAACCGCTGGGTCTCCGGACTTTGTAGGCCACGTTTGTCTCTGTCAGCCAGAACCAAAGATACCCCGGCCCAGGAATGGTGGGTTTTGATCTCTCTTTGTCTCGCAGCGGTCTATCTTCCAACCATATCGTCATAATTCGGAGTCCGAATCAGAACAAAGAATACTGCTTTGTTTGTAGAAGAGTCTCGCGCAGTCTGCTGACCACCCTTTACAGCATTTATCCTCTATCGGCAGCACCACCAGCAGGTTATCATTGCTCGCAACCCTGGTCTCAACAACCCCGACATTTCCAAGATCATCGGTGAACAGTGGAAGGCTGAACCTGAAGAGCGCAAGAAGATCTGGCAAGATCTTGCACAGGTTAGTATTGCAACTTTTTCTTGCTGTCTATCTTCATGTTGATGGTTTTTTAGGAGGAGAAGGCTAGGCACCAGGAACAGTATCCTGATTACCGATATCAGCCACGTCGAATAGGCAAATCCGGTTCATCGCCCCTGAACCCTTTCGGGCAGCATACTACTGTCGACAAATATCGTTGTCAACGGTGCGGCGGTCGCAGTATCAAGACGCCTACCAGTCCATATCTTGACCCCTCTGGCATTCCTATATTGCCTCCTCCTAATATCACTGAAAGTATCACACCAACAACTCGCTACCTGCCAGTGATCAGCAACCTTAGCATGGAGTCACCTGTTCACCCACGGGGCCACGGTCCTCCGAATCTTAACCACCTCAAATTGAGAGTCACTTCGGCGATACGCGACGATCCAGCGGCCACAAGCCCTTCTACACCCAACAAGAAACGAAGGTTTGAATATGGACACCCAAACTCTGCCCTTGGCCTGAGAGCAGATGGGCCCTACTTTCCCTCGACACAGTATGCCAGGCGCGAATCTTTGCCTCCCATTCAAATACGATATTCGCCCCCGAATAGCGCGACCATGCCGCCTCCCCGCACTCCTCGTGATGGAAGACTCTCGATAGTGGAAGTGGGACCTTCGTCTCACAGCTCCAGCCCTAAAAGCGTGGAAGAAGTTCTCAGTGCCTATGCGTACGGAAACAAGATTAAGCTTCTTGGCCGCATAACGCCTCCGTACAAGGAGCTTAGGGAGGGAATGTCATCTGGTCAGGAAGGCCGTGGCGCCATTATCGCTATCGAAGGCGACGATCTCGCTGCGGTTAAAGAGCTTTCTGAATGGCTCAACGAGCACCTTGCCAAACAAGGCGAGTTCAAGCCCCAGATTACCGAGCCACCAAGAGTTCCTGGCAACGATGGCAAGGATGTTACTTTCGATGACTATCTCGACTTAATCAAGGAGTGGCATGGCAAGAGCAAAGAGATGATTGAGTACATCACCACCGCTTCTTCCGCCGCTTCCCCTTGTCAAGACATCGTTATGTCCGATAAAGATACTTCTTCTACCAGCATTACTGCCTCGCGCAAAGACTCCGCAATGCTATGCGACTCCCCCGCTGCAACCCTCAAGCCCGTCATCATCCTGCCTACCTTCCAACTCCATGCATCTGTCGCATACGCGTCCCGTATCCCCATTCAAGATGCCTACAGCGCGATGGATCATTGGCAGTGGATGGCTACGCTCTGGCGAGGAACCGTGGGCCCGGATCTCACCCTGTACGTTAAGAGCTACGATGCCAAGGAGGGTCAGATCGGGCAAAAGCCTGAAATGGATGATCCCAGCAGGTGCTTTACTGTGTTCAAGGAGAAGGAAGGGAAGTTTACCGAGCCCGATTTGAGGAGGGTTGGGTTTGAGGTTGGAGAGTGGATCAAGGCTGTCAGGTAGGAATGCCTGCTTGGACCTACGTACACCACGTACGGACAACGATTTCATTTGTACGAGAGGAGGTTTGGCGAGGCATGATGGATGTTTTTTCTTCTCTTTTCTTTTGGTTCTTGATACAGTGCTTCTCTGGCTTTGAAGAGATCATTGGTTGCAGCCCCCTGTCACAGTTGTGACGCAGTTGTGACGGGCTTAAATTAGGGCTGCACACGAAGTGTTTAACCCCATTCATGGTACATAGCTTGGCACGCGATTCGGGGTGTTGGCGGGCTTACTATACCTATTCTTCTTTAATAATACTCCGGAATTTCTACAGTTATGGTATATACTATATATGACGGGTTTCC